CCAGCCTGATGATTTAATGCCTTGGTGGGGCATATCGGCTCCAGCCATGGGGCAGCGGGTGGGCTTTAAGGGTGACATGATCCCAAATAGCACTTGCTGTCTAAATAATGCCGGCTGTGGTTGGGAAGGCAGGTGTTTGGCCAGCAGGCACAGCATCCTCCTGCCTTCACAGCACCACAGGGTTGTGCTGCTGCCGGGTGCTCATGCCAGGTGCCCCAGTGGTCCCCAGCTGCCCTTGGCCAGGCAAAGGAGAAGCAGGAGAGAGCAGCTCCCCACTGCCAGCCGCAGCCCTGTGTCACAGCCTGGGACACTGAGCTCACAGGCTGGAGTCAGGATGGGAATAATGATGCAGACACCAAAAACCACCTCATCCAGCCCCCTCCAGGATGCTAAAAGCTCCTGCCATTTTCCCTTTTTATCACAGCCTTAGCAAGAGAGATCCCATTAGCTCTACACACCATCCCTGGGGAAATAGTGCTGATAGATGTGTGAGATCAGGCAGGTGGATTTTCTTTTCATCACTTATGCCAGAGAAGTCTTACACTGCTAAAAGCAAGAAGAGAATGAGCCAGCTCTTGCAGCCTGCTAGTGATCCAGGCAGAGTGTCACAGCTGGATTTCACGTGCCTTGCTCTGTGCTGGTGCCTGGGGGCTGCCTGGCCTCGTGGGAGGGCAGGATCTGGCCCAGAACAGCACTGACTCAGAAGCACTTTCCCTGGGACTGGACTCCCCATTTCCTCCTGCACAGGGATCGGTCCCCTCTCAGCTCAGCATTTCACCCCAGCAAACTCCCAGCACAACCACAAGCTGAAAGCAGATTTTCTATAAAAGCAAAGCAACGGCATCCCTGGCTTGTGCCTGCCCTTTCTCACGTTTGTGTCAGCCGTTGTTTCCCCCAAGCATGCTGCAGGCTGGCTGGCGCTGGCTGGCTGGCACTCACACACACCGACCAGCATCAAGGATGTGAAGGAGCCCTGGTGCAGGATCCGTAGCAGCCTTCACATGAACATTGCAAGCACTGAGGTTTATAACCCAGAAAATCTGGGCTCTGAAGGGCTCTATCTGGCAGGGCAGGAGGCGTGCCGCCCTGCCCAGAGCCACTTTTATGCCATTGTGCCTTTTCAGCATTGCATTAAGGCAGCCAAAGAAGGGGGATTTTTAATGGTTCCAGGGGAACAAAGCGGGAACATTCGGCCCAACTTCATTACAGAATCATCTGAAACGCTTGAGGAACGTTTCCCACTAATTATCATAAATAGCCGAAAAAAATCTTTCCCTCCCAAAGCAGGTTCCAGCTGCCCCTCTGTGTTTTCTCACCTCCACTTCCAATAGCTTGACCTTGCCCCTGCACAAAGGGGAGACCCCATCTCCGCTCCCCCCTGCACTCGGGGGCTCTAAAGAAATACAAACAGGCAGCAGATTAACAGCACTTGTTTGCACCTTAAACAAACAGGCGACTTCCGCCCCGCTGGGCTCTCCCGCTGCCCAAGGGAGGATGCGCCCACTGGTTTTCCTTGCCCTTGCTCTCATGCCCTGCCCAAATTTCTGGATAAAAGCATGAGCAGCACAAGGCATGAAGCAGGAGGAACAAGGATGGGAACACCAGGGGTGCCAGCCCTGTACCCCCTTGAGCTCTGTCCCCCATGCCTTGGTGTCCTCTTGCTGCCCCAGCTGCCCTGGGTGGGGGGTCAGGCCCCAGCCTGGTGGCACGTGGCTGCAGCCCTGTTGCAGGAGAGCTGAGAGATGCCAAGGCCAAAGCAGATGAATGAACGTGCCAGTTCAGCTCCTGCCCTGTGCATCTCCCAGGGCTTCTCATCAAGGAGCAGCCTGACACGGCTGGATGGGTGCTGTGAGTGGGCAGGGGGAGGGATGCTGCAGGTGAAGGATGGGGAGGGAGAGACAGACTGTCCAGAGGACACATGGAGGAGTGGTGTTGGTGTTCAAAACCATCACCTGCATCGAGAGGGCACAGCAGCAACACCGAGAAATGACTTCCAGCCCACGATCATCTCTGTTGAGTGCAATAGGGAATGTATGGGTGCCGGACACACCTGTCCAGCTGGTTCTTAGGCGATCCCAGGAGCCGCAGCTGCCTTTGCCAGGGAGCTGCCCCAGCTGGGATCCTCACCCTGCAGGTCCCATGTCACCTGTCCCACCCCTCCAGGTGGCACTGCCAGCGCATCCTTGCTCCTACAGGACCTGGACCCAAACCAGCCCCTTCTCGCCCTGCCCACAGCACGCAGAGCAGCCAGCTCCCAGCCCCCCACCACACTGAGGAAGGCAGCCACAAGATATGTGTGTGGGCTCAAACCACACCAGCAACTGGTGAGATGCTGCTCCTGGCACAGCTACGGCACATGTTTGGGACCGGCACATGAGGTGGATGCCTGCGGAGGAAGCCACGGCAGCACGGCTGCGGGCTGGGGCAGGTTCCCAGCAGCAAGCCAGCAGTGGGACTTGCCCGCTGGAGGCCCAGGTTTGCTCCCCGCCTGCATTATTGCACAACCCCCCCATGCAGGTGTTCTTCCTGCCAGCCACAAGAAAGTGCTGTCACTGGCGAGCCCCCTTCCTGCCCATGGGGTGCCTCAGGGGCAGGAAGGGGACCGGAGGCAGGTGTCAGGGGCAGGCCACTGCACCCGCAGCACGGGGGGCTCCCAGCAGGGCTGACAGGCAGAGGGGTTACAGGTCGGTACTGCAGCATGAGTGACAGGGCTGCGGGGACCACGTCTCGTCTGCACAGGGCAAAAAGAGAGCCAGTGGTGGCTGTGGGACTCCCACGATGTGCTGGAGAGCCCTTGGTCCCAGCAACACTCAAGGACATGCACGCACAGTGTCTCATCTCTGCTTCTAACTGGTTGTCACCTGAGGCTAACTATGAGGACCTCAGGCAGTCGCAGCAACTTGGAAGGGGTTTACAGTATCACAAGCAGCCTGCAGATGCCACACAGAGATGCTCACCCTTTTTTTCCAAAGCAAAAACCAGGGGCATCCCATGCAAGAAGGGGTGAGTGAGGGGAGAGCAGGCAGGGGTGATGCTTCATTCAGTGCATGGCCAGTCCTGGGCACTCCTTGCCACAGGGTTACCTGTGTTCAGAGAAACCAGAGAAATTCAAAGATGAAAAAAAAATTAAGCATTACTCAGTGCAATGGCTGTCCCGCAAAGGGCTGCCCGCAGCAGAGCGGGAGGGTGTGCTGGGGGCTGTGCCACTCCCTGGGCATCTGCCCCAGCCACATCCCTCTCTGCTGGAAGGAAAGCCTCTCATTGGCATCACAGCAAGGTGCAGCTCCAAAGCGGCAAACCTGTACACTGGTCTCCCCAGTGCAGATCCTCCTGTGCTCTGCCCCATTCCCACATGCTCTCTGGCTGCTCTTGCTCAGTGATCAGGAAACCCAAGCGTTTTCCCCCCCAAGGCTGCCCAGGCACATCACCCCCAGGACAACCTGCATCTCACCAGCCTCTCAGCTCCTTCCCTTCTGGGGGACACCAGAGTGAGCAGGGGCAAACAGGAATGGCTGCTAATTCCTCCCAGCCCAGCATACCTGTAGCCCTCCAGGGACTGGCCCCACAGCGATGGAAGGAGCTGGCTCCTGCCTGCGAGCCAGCTGCACCAGCCTGGCCCCGGCAACACAGGCGGCTGTATTTTCACTGCAAATTAGAAATCAACCATAGCAGGAAATTCCCGTGCTGAGAACACCCTGGCTATTATTATTTTACAGCACTCAGAGGTGTTCCGGGCACTTAGAAAGACGTGGCCCTTTTGGGGTATTATGGGGCAAATTAGTTTTAAAGGCTGCTATAGGAATGTCGGCCATTCGGTTTCCGGAGCGGGATGGGCACAGGTGGAGGCTGCAGGGCTTTGTGCTGCTTTCGGATACACCACTGTTCTGCAGAGGGAATCAGCATGCTCCAGAGTGAACACCTCTAGCCTGACCCCAGCTTTATTAATAACAAGTAATTAATATGAGAGCGGACGTGCCTTGTGTCTCTGAAGACCTTTTAAGATGTGATTATGTTGTGCTAATCTCACCCCGAAGTACTTCCCTGTTTAGACTTCGCTGGGCCATTAAATATCTGAAAAGCCAGTGGAGACCCCCCCCTCACCACTTCGGGAAGTGCTTGGGTTCTGTTCCCCAGCAGCCAGGCCCCACTTTCAAACCCTCTAAATCAAGTATTAAGTTGAGCCCATCTGGACTGCCAGGAAAAACACTCCCTCCCCCTCATCTGTGTCTCATTACCTGCCATGCCAGCCCTGGCCCTGGAGCCGCTTGCTCCATCCCGCCCAGATGTGCTGCCTCACGCTCGCCTCCCGTATTTCACAGCCGTCAGCAGGACTTCAAGGAGCAGCCGAAGGGCCTGTAACACTGCACAGGCTCTTAGCAAAGACATATATCCAGGTCCCTAACTCATAGCTTCAGGCACATACCCTGATGTGAAGCCTCTTTCCCCTCCCTTGTTCTTGCACCAGGCAGGGACTGTTCAGGCGTCCTTGGCCAGGAGATCTGAGCCACTTCCCCATGGCTCTCTGCCCAGCACATGTCTGGACTATTGATTTTCAGGGGTTCTTCCCCCAAGACCCCCCAAAGCCAGGCGACCCTGTGCCCCACACCTGGGGAAGTGCACCCAAAGGCAGGGCAGGATGGAGCAGGTGCTGGCAGCAAAGGCGAGGAGTTGAAGAACTCCCGAAGACAGGAATTGCAACCCTGTAGTAATCTGGGAGCAGCTTGCCTGCACAGGACAAAGTCAACAGTGAGCCTAGAGCAAACTAAACTACTCAGAGACTCAAACCAAGGAACAACCCCTGTGTTCATTGGCTCAAAAATCTCCTGGGCTAAAGCTTTCTGGTGAACGTTTCAGCACTTTCTGCAATAGCAGAAATGCCACAGAAACAGCCACTTTTGTTTAAGTGTGGCACTTTCCTGGCCCTGTCAGCATCCCAGGACTGCAGAGGTGAAGGTGCACATCAACCCTTCAGTTATGAGGGGAGTTAGCCCCTTCCTCCCAAGCTTCCAAAGAGCCAGCGCCCAGCCTGCAGATGGGCTCAGCATCAGGTGATGTTATGGTATGAGAACCACATGGCTGGCCATGCTCAGACACGACTTCTGGAGAGGCCAGGGCAGGCAGCATCACAAAGAGGTTTTGGGACATGAGATTTAAGAGGGGAAAGAAAAGCATGTCTGCTGTCTCACTATGCTGCTGCACACTAGGCAGGTGTGCAACCCTGGTCCCATACCAGCCCCTGAGGGCTAGCACTGACTGGGGACCCCACACTCCAGCAAGCAACAGGAATCCCACACACCAGTCACGGTGAGAACAGCCCTAGGATGGAAATAGTCCCCTCGCCAGCCCTTCAGTGCAGAGCAGAGGTGCAGGGGAGACTTTAATATCAGTGAGGAGGAAAGGGGTCAGGGAGAGGGGAAGAGGTCAGAGTCCTGTGATGGACGTATGGGCACTGACACATCCCATAACACGACGTGCCGAAGAAGCCGGGGTGCGGGGTGGGAAGCCTTGGGATGTCATTCCCCAAGGACTCCTTGCACCCTGCAGATAGGTACCTGCCAGGGATGGGGAGGAGATGCGGGCAGGAGCCCCGGCCAGACCCTGCAAGCAAGAGCGGGCCGTGCCCGAGGTCCAGCTTGGTCCCCTGCTGGCCGGGTGCGGGGTCTCCAGCATTTTGTGCGGTGCCTCCAGGGCCACTGGCCGCCCTCGCTGCTCCCGGTGGCCCTGGCCCGGCGGTGGCAGCCACTGCCTGTGTCGGGATGCCATCTAGTGTCGCTTGGCAGAAGGGCCCGTCAGGCAGTGACACCGCGCATCGTTTCCCCAGGCTCACAACACCTCCAGGGGTCAGCTGGGAGGCACCCCAAAACAGCCTGGGTGCTGGGACACCCCCCCCGGGGGCACGGTCCGTACCCCAGGACATACGCACCCCGTGGCCAGCACAGCTTCAGACCCCGAAGGAGGACGATGGGCATTGCCCAGGTCACGCAGCGAAGCTCACAGCGGTGCCCGGGCTTGCTCGGGGGGCCCGGGGGCAGCCAGGGCTTGGAGCGTCAGCAGCCTCACCAGTGGCACAGGGGGGCCCCGGCGGCGGGTGACTCGGTGCAGGAGAAGGGCGAGCCTCCCCCACAGCAACATGCAGCCTGCCTGCAGCGCCAGCGCGGCCAGGCCCAGGGCCAGGGACACCCGGCAGTGCCACGGGCTGGACCGCAGGGCGAAGCCCCAGGCATGATGGCTGCTGCGGGCCAGGGGTGGGGGAACCGGCCAGGGGCTCGTAGGATCTGGCAGCAGGGGGACGGGAGGTGTCGGAAGCATGATGGTGCTTGCAGGGCTGGGAGCAGGCCGGGTGCCAACCGTGGACAAGCCCCATGCGGTGGCATGGTCCTGCTCCCTGTCTGGCACGGGAGCATGGTGGGACGGGGAGTGTGAGGCCAGCAGGACCATGCCCGGCACAGCAGTCCTGGGGGGTGGCCAGAGTGCCTTGGGGGGGGCTGAGACAAGGGAGATGCTGGGTATTCCCCGTGGGATGGTGGCTGGCCTCTCTGTGGGCACCAGAAGAGCAGGAGGTACTTCTCTGGTGGTGGCTGCCAGTGGGCTGGTTGGCACCAGTGTGGTGGCAGAAGCTAGAGTGGACAGTGCAGGCTCTGGACTGGTGGCCCCAGGAGGCTGTAGGCTTATGAAGGCTGGAGATGGACACAGGCTGAAGGCCTCCTGTGGCACAGCTGGCAACGGGGTGTTGATAGAAGCCTTGGGCAGCATGGTTGATGATGGGGTGGCAATGGAGGCCTTTGGCAGCACATTTGGTGGTGTGTTGATGGAAGCCTCAGGCAGCACAGTTGATGGTGGGGTTGTGATGGAGACCTTCAGCAGCACAGCTGATGATGGGGTGGTGATGGAGGCTTTTGTCATCATGGTTGATGGTGGTGTGGCTATGGAGGGCTTGGGCAGCACAGCTGGTGATGGGGTGGTCATGAAGACCTTCGGCAGCACAGCTGATGATGGGGTGGTAATGAAGGCCTTAGATGGCATGGCTGGTGATGGAGTGGTGAAGAAGGCCTCCTTTGGCATGGTTGGCAATGTGACAGAGGTGGCCACAGGTGACAGCATGGTTGGAAGTGCCATGATGGGAAAGGCTGCCAATGACAGTGTGGTTGGTGCTGCAGTGGGCAAGACTCCAGGTGACAGCAAGGTTGACATCCCTTGTGATGATGTGGAGGTAAATGGCAGAGATGGGGTAAAAGAAGCTGAAAGAGGCGGAGTATCTGGGCAAATTAAGTGGTCATCCCTCAGTGATGTCACTGCTTGTCCTGACAGGTGGGGTGGACTCTTGCATGACACTTGGGTGGACAATGTGACCTTCTCCCTGTTGCTCAGGATCCAGCTGTGCAGGTAGCACAGGTTGCAGTCACATCTCCATGGGTTCCCACTCAGATACACTGAACTGAGCTTCTTCAGGGGGTCCAGGAGCCCTCGCGGGACACTCTGCAGCTGGTTCTTCCGAAGGTTGAGGGTTTTCAGATCTGGGAGAGAAGCAAACACCTCATCATCCAGAGCAGAGAGATGATTTGCGTCCAGTTGGAGGTCCAAGAGCTTGCTGAGCCCAGTGAAGGCTCCTCTTGGCAGGGCTGCTAGCTGGTTGTGAGACAAGATGAGTTTGCCAAGAGATGTGAGGTTGGCAAAGATGCCATCTGGAAGTGTGGCCAAACTGTTCCTGCCCAGATCCAGTTCCCACAGGTGTGGCATGATGTCAAAAAGGCAGCAGGAGAGCTCCGTAATGTGGTTTGAACCCAGAGTCATCATCTTCAATTTGTTTAAACCAAAAAAGCCCTGAGGTGGGAGAAGCCTGATGAGGTTGTTGTCCAAAAGGAGTGTCTCCAGGTGAGGCAGGCTCCTCAGGAGCATGGGTGGCAGTTCCCTGAGCCTGTTCCTCTGGAGACTCAGCTCCAGCAGCCCCCACTGACTGTCTAGCAGCCCCTCTGGGAGGTCCTGCAACTCATTCTCATACAGCCGGAGGACTTGCAGCCGGTGGAGTTTGCTAAAGGCATCCCCAGGAAGAGTTGTGATCCTGTTTCTAGACAGGTCCAGAAATGTTAGATTGACAAGAGAATCAAAAATGCCTTCTGGAAGAGAAGGGATTGCATTGATGTGCAGGGAGAGCTCTCCCAAATTTTCCAGCCCATCAAACAGACCTTTGGGGATGTGTCTGAGGTGGCTGTCTCTCAGCTCCAGCCTCTGCAAGCTTGGGAGGTTTTGGAAAGTGCCCACAGCTAGTTCTTCTAACAAGGCACCAGAGATGTCCAAGTCCCTCAGCTTGTCCAAATTATCAAAGGCTCCAGGTTCAACTGTCTTGATCTTGTTGCCAATAAACAAAATCTTGACCAGGTTGGGCATGTACCTGAAGGCACCTTTCCTTATAGCAGTGATGCTGGTTTGCACAAAGATCATCTCAGAAATGAAGGGCTTTACAATCTTTGGGATCTCTTTGACATCATTTCTTGTCCCTCTGTAGACCTCCTGGTAGTATTTGGGCATTTCATACGGATCTTCACCCAGGATTTGATCTTGGCATTTATGGGGATGGAAGGAGAGGAAGAAAAGGAAAAGGAAAAGATGGTACATTGTCCTGAAAAAGAGATTTCAAAAACCAGTTATGAAGAACAAAAAAAATCTCTGTCCATAGCTCATGAACTGTGGTAGCACACTGTCGTTCACCTCTCAGGACTCTTCTATTCACATATCATGACTCATTTTATGAGAAAGAGAGAGACTGTACAAGCCCACGTACGCTGCATTTACAAGAGTTCACTGCCATTGGTACTGAGGGATGGAGACGAACGGGGAGTGAGCCAGCTCATGGCTCGGCACTGGGAGATGCTCCAGGGGGCAAAGGACTGGACAGTCTGTTCTCTGGCTCTTCTTCTCCCACATTTGGGCTGTAGGCTCGGCCTCTGTCTCGGTGAAGAAGGCAAAGTGCTGCTGCCCATTAGCACTGCCCCGGTGGGTCCAGTTACTCAGCAGGGCAACAGCCCATTCATGAAACAACAGAAGCAGTCAGCTCTGCACTTGCTAATGAGGGATCAGCAAAGGTTCCAGGAGCCAGCCAAGACCAGATGACCTTGTTTACTGAGAATTTCCACACTGTGCTGGATGAACTTACTATTTCAGTTCAGGGGAGTGATTTAAGACATTTAAAACATGGCTTCTAAGCATCTCCTTTTCAGGATTCTTGCTAATGGCATCATATTTTGGCCTTGGTTATGCACCTCTGTTAGATAGAAATGGTTAACTTGTGAACAGACACCAAGCTTTAGAGCAAGGTTCATTAAAGGACTATGACATTTCCACAGATAAACTCTTTAATACCTAACATTTAGGGCCCTGACCTGCAGTTAGAAAGTGAAGTCCCTGATGTACACCCACCAGTAGCTATGTAAAGCCCACTACTTCCATTGAGTTATTTGGAAACAGTCAGCTAACACATGAGCTGGGCTTTAACAGCTGTGAGCATTGTACTGGGACCATAGTTTCCAGCTTGTGATTCACAGCCCTGGGTGGGAGCAGGGGAAAGGGCTGTGGGTTGCTTCTTGGGTGTCCATCAAAGCTGACCGTGCAAAAAAACTTATGCTGGGAGGTTAAATTTGCTATGAAAGGTGGTTTTTTTTTTGAAAAATGTTGAGAGGTCAGCAAATACAGGAGGTTGAAAGCCACTGGGTTGAAAGAGAACCGATGGGAGGTATGTGCCAGCTGCCCTGCAGGGTTCACCAGGGCAGAAGCTGCTGCTGATCTCTGCTCATCCTCACCCAGGGAGACTCAGGTGCAGGAGCTGGGGGTGTGGGTGCAAAAGTGCCTGCTTCACTTCAGCTGCAGGGGCAGCTCAATGAGTTAAATGCACAGGTGGGAATGGCTGGGCTGAGGGCATGTGGATGAAAATAAACAGTTCTGAACTGCAAACCTCTTTTAAAAACCTCCCTCACGCTGTCTGGCTGTGGTGGACTTCAGTGTGGTCCCTTGCTTGTCCCACCCTCCAGCAGTGCAGGGACACAGAGGGACAGACCCAGCTCACGGCACTGCAGCCTCTCCTCCTCCTTACTGCAAGGAAACAATCAACAGTCCCCCAGAACCGCCCTTCCCAGCACATTTTAAATAGCAAAAAAAAGCATTTTGCATCACTTACTTGGCCGAGCACTTGGGAACGAGTCCAGCCACTGGAGTGAGCCCTGCCGTGTGAGGAGTGAGGCCACCAGACAGGGGGTTCCATCACCTGGCCAGCTCTTTATCCATGGCCCAGGCACAAGGCTTGGTTTTGCAAGGGGTCAGGGCAGAGGTCTGTGTGGGGAGATAAGGCACGCCCGGGTTGCAGGCAGCAAAGCAGTGCCCCCTGTGTGGGAGGCTGTTGCAGAAACCTCTTGGAGAGGATGCAGGCATGTACTCCCCAAGCGTTATCTGCTCATGCCACTTGACTAGTCACATCCAGGGAAACCTGAAGATCTCCAGGACAGCCTGTTTTGTAGCTGACGGTCTCTGCAATCTCATATCTCCACCAGTGTAAGCCACCAGCTTCACAGACAGCACCCCCGCCAACACAACAGAAAGGAGTTTTCCTGTTTAAAATAGCTGCTGTTTCCTTCCTCGGGAATTGGCTTATGTAGCTAAAGGTGCTGCTCTGAAGCCATTTGTTTGAGCTCATAACAGGGTTAACGTCTGTGGCCAGACACATGCTGACACCTGAGCTCTGGGTTCAGCCCCACAGCTCCACACCTCGCCGGTGGTAGGGCTGGGGCTGAGTGTTGTGCTGCCCTCCACCCTGGCACAAGCCAAAGACCCTCCCGCAATGATACTCAGGGCTCCTGGCTGGTGCAGGGCACCGTGTGGGAAGAAACACCCTGTTTGATGCAAAGACTTAAAAGTGACAAGGCATCCTTCACTTCCCAATGGATAATTGCACTAATTGCATTTACATATTTCTTCTCCAGTTTCCCCCTGCTCTTAGTAAGGCTCAGCTTGTGCTTGACAGGCTTCATTATACCTTTCTTGGCAAATTTAAAAACACTCAAACTACTGCACATTTTCAGCAGCCTTACCCCTTTCCACTGTCAATGTCGGATGCATCCAGGCCCCCGCCTGGTGCCAGGCTGCTCCAGAAGCTGGAGGGTGGCAGGAACCAGCGTGTGTGAGGGGACAGAGCTCGCAGCAGGAGTGACACCCAGGCTGTGGTGTGGGAGCTGTGATGGTGTTTGGGGAGCTGCAGCCAGCCACAGCATCCCTGCTCCAGGCTTAGAGGTGGCCATGCCAGAGTCACCTGGGAGATGGCTGCAGCACAGTGGAAGTCCCTTGTGCAGGGTGTCTGAGTGGAACTATGTCTGGGTGTGCAGCATTGCCCACTTGCCCTCCAGGAGAACGGGGCCAGCAGTCCAGAGCACGGCTGGGATCATCGCCCACTGCCGGGGCAGGTCACCACCACACTAACACCACACGGAGTATGGGCAACAGCAGGAAGGGGCTGGCAGAGATGCACAGCCCCAGGCGAGGAGCCCAGCTCCCCAGTCACTGCGGGAAGGCTGGCTCAGAGGCTGGCCAGGTGCAGGCAGGGCTCCCCCAGCATTGCCCAGCCCAGGAGATCCCAGGTCCCAGCAGCTGGGAGATGGTGTGGGAGGACCACACCACAGCTCCTGGCATCAGCAGCCTGCTGGGCGTGCACCTTGCACACACACACATATACACATACCCACAAAAACACACATGTGCATGCACACACACGTGCTCTCTTAGGGGACCACCCACCTTACCTGCCAACCCCTGAGTGGACAGTGCTGCTGGGACTTTGCGCCCCATCTCCATGGGTCCCTGAGCCTCTCTGGAGCAGATTGAGGGGCTGCAGGCCAAGCCCTGCCAGGGTGGGTTGGGGACCTGCTGGTGCGCAGCCCTGGACTGGAGCCCACCCTGCAGCCCCACAGGCCGTGCCCCTCACCGGGCAGTCGGCAGCACTCGCCCACCCTTGGACACCCCACAGCAAACCCGTGCCCTGGGGTTAGGGCCAGGCTGCAGCTGGGTTTCTGCGCTGCTGAGGGAAGCGGGGCAGGAGGTGGGGCTGGAGAGCTGCAGCAGGCAGAGCTGAGCGCCCCAGAGTGCGGCATCTTCCCACCGCCAGGCACCTGCAACCCTGCCACAGCGGCACAGCCCCAGCCCAGTCCCCACCGGACCACAGTGACCTTCACCGCTGCCCCCAGATACACGGGCAGAGGCGGGGGAACAGTTTCCCCTCTCTGCCATGGGAACTGGTTGCACAGAAATAATACAGACAGTTTAATTATCTTTGAAATACACAGGAAACGCATAGCTGGAAGGATAAATACCACCAGGCCAGCTCTTGTGGAGAGGTTGGTGTTGGCTGATGACCGTGGTACGGGTAGTGAAGTGAGACGGGGTGCTGTTTCCCAGGCAGGTCCAGAGGGTGCCAATGCAAGAGCAGCGTAGAAGCAGGTGCCTGCCCGAGCCCTAGGGCACAGCAGGGGGACCTGGTGACGTGGCCTCATCCCCGTTCTGTGCTCTGACAAGGACGCTGACCTGCAGTGTGCCACAGCGGGAGTGCAGCACCCAGGCATCCTGGTACACCAGCCCTGGCTCCGATGTCTGCCTGGGAGGAGTAGGAGGCAGGAGGCGAAGGCTGAGCTGCTGGCAGCTCGTGGCATCACAGGCCACTCTTACAGTGCCCTCAGCGTTGCTGTAGGTGCACTGCCCCGGAGCATTCTTCCCCAGCTCCCCATCCCAGCCCTCCTCTGGGGGAATACCAGGAGCTCCCGGGCACTCCAGCTGCCCCTGGGGGACCTCCATCAGGGACCGTCCCTGGAGAGCGGCCGGGCTGGCACAAGAGGCTTGTGCATGGATGAGGGGCTCAGCAAAGGTCTGGAGCCAGCCCAGGAGATAGGCGAGGCTGCAGTCACAGGCCCAGGGGTTGTTGGCCAGCAACACGTGTGCCAGCTCCTCGTTGGCATCAAAGAGCCCCGGGGGCAGGTGGGACAGGTGGTTGTGGACCAGCGCCAGGGTGGTGAGGAGGGGCAGCCCGGCCAGCAGCCCAGCCGGCAGGCTGGAGAAGTTGTTGTGGCTCAGCTGCAGTGTCACCAGCCCCGCTAGCCCCTGGAAAACCCCAGCGGGGAGGTGGCCCAGGGCGTTGTGCGAGAGCACCAGGGTCTGCAGTGCCGACAGATTGGAGAAGAGCTGCTGGGGCAGCGTCTCCAGCTGGTTGCGAGCCAGAGAGAGGTAGAGCAGGTGAGGGGTGCTGGTGAAGAGGGCAGCAGGCAGGGCGGCCAGGCGGTTACCCTCCAGGCTGAGAACTGTGAGGTTGGGAAGACTGGCAAAGATGTCAGGAGCCAGGCTGGCCAGGGCATTGTGCTGCAGCTGCAGCCGCCGCAGCCCCCCCAGTCCAGCAAAGGCGCCGGCTGGCAGCTCCTCCAGATGGTTACCATCCAGGTGGAGCTCAGCCAGCCGGCCCAGAGCCCTGAAAGCACCAGGGCACACCTGTGCCAGCAGATTGTCACTGAGCTTGAGGAGGTGAAGGGCAGCAAGGGGAGACAGCAGTCCGGCTGGCAACTCAGTCAGGAGGTTCTGTGAGAGGTCCAGGGTCTGGAGGTGCTGGAGTGGGTGGAAGAGGTTGGGAGGCAGCACCTCGATCTTGTTCCCTGCCAAGCGCAGCTCCTGTAGATGGTAGGTGGTGGTGAAGAGCCCTGGCTGCAGGGAGTGGATGGCATTGGCACCCAGGGAGAGCTTGCTGAGTCTGGGCAGCCCCACCAGCACCTCTGGGATGACTGCTGCCAAGGGGTTGCCTGACACTTCCAGCTCAGTGAGGCTGGGCAGCTCCTGAAAGGCGCCAGCCTCCAGCTCTTGGATGTTGTTGTTGAGGAAGACCAGCTTGGTGAGGGTGGTGCTAGAGCCCAGGGCTCCTCTGCGGATGCGGCTCAGGGCCGTCTCCACGAAGAAGAGATGGGTGACATTCCCCGGCAGGCCTGCAGGGATCTCCCGCATCTTCTCCTCCGAGCAGAAGACTTTGGAGGTGTCGTAGCACTGGCAGGTGGGAGGGCAGGGCAGGGGCAGCCCCCTCACCAGCAGGGACCCCAGCCCCAGCAGTGCATAGACCACCAGCCTGCACTGGAAAAGGAGCCAAGGCTCAGCCCCTGCCTCGGCGAGGCAGAAGTCTGCACCCACAGGTGGGTGCTGCTGGGGGTGCAGCTCCTGCAGCCAGAAGTGCAATGGGAGCAACCTCTGGCGTGCTGCATGAGCATCCCTCCAGCCCCAGTTGCCCACACCACCCCTTGCAAGAATGGGGAGCGCTTCCCTCTCAGACGTCTCCCTGCCTGGCTTGTGTGGCACATCAGGGTTCTTCCTCTGCACCCCAGCCCACCCTGTGACAACCAAAGGTCCCCATGTCCTGCAGAGCAGCAGCCAAGGTAGGACCCATGTGGTCCCACGGGGGTCTTGGGGGAACTTGTGGCCTCGCAGGATGTCTCCATGGGCACAAAGCTGGGCTCTGGGGTGGGGAAGCATGTGAAGCATGGGGATGGGCTGCACACACTGGGTGATGGGGACAATGCTGCAGGGATGCTCTGTGCTCAGTGACAAAAGAAGTGGGCTCCAACTGTTGCATTTCTAATTGCCCATCAAGTACTTCTTTCTCTTCAAGCAACTGAAGCAGCATCAGACCTGCGCAAGAGGTATTCAGCTTGACCAAATGCCTGTTCTCAGCCCACAGGAGGCACTTCTTGAGGAGGTGGCCTCTAAACCTCTGCCAGTCCCTCCCTACTTGGGATACATGCCAGTGCTGCCCCGAGATGGGGGATGCTGCCCACCCCACAGCAACGCGCATCTGACGAAACCCCTGTGCAATTGGGGCTGTCCTGGACTTACACCGACACTCAAGTACAGTGTTGGGCTTGGCTTTCCCTTCCCACCATCTCACTTGTTTTCACCAGAGCCAACAGTATCTCCCACCCATCCCTGGCCCCCCAGACTACCCGAGGAGCATGGCCACCACTTACCGAGTGTGGCATCGTGGAGACTGCCACCAAACCTGCGGCAGGTTTGCAGGGACGCTGCTCACCAAGATGGGACAATATTTTCTGGGGCGGATGGGAAGCTGGATGACGAGCTGTTCCTGCTGGGGCGGAGCTGCCCCTTGCTGCTTATCGGCAACAACAACCCGTGTCCTTGGAGTGCTTCAAAAAATAACCCGGCCCCAGAGGGACTGGAGGTGAGGCCAGAGGCAGCCGCCAGCAAGGATCCTGTCAGGGAAGTGAGGTCCCAGCCCCGGATGTCCACTGGCCTGGGGACGGTGGCAGGGTGCTGCTGTCACAGCTCCTACACCAAGCTCAGCACATTTGTTTCCAGCCACCTCCCAAGAGACCCCCTGGATTTTATTAAATCTCACTGAGAAATGGTGCTAGCAGACATCTCCTGCACAGGAGAGGGGACAAGGCACAGCTTCGCAAGGCAAAGCAATGCCACGGGGGAGGGACCACTCTGGGACCATCTTGTTGAAATGCACCAGATGTTTTGCAGCCTGTGACGTGCACCCAGCCAGTGGTGGGCTGGCCAGAGGGACCTAAGGACCACCAGGACTCCCTGGGAGCTTGCAGCCTGCCTGGGGGAGCAGCATACACCACCTTAAGGGCTGCCTTGCCTGTGTTGGAACGGGCTGTGGTGGTGGCAGCCAGGGGCAGGAGGGACACTTAGGTGCACTCAGCCAGACTGATGGAGCAGACCGCGGTGCACAAACTCAGCTGGCACAAGCCAGAGGCAGCTCTGAAGGGAGTCGAGAGAGCTCCCCACCACCCTGGGTGGTGCTGGGTCAACCCTGGGGGCTCTGCTCCAGGGAGCGGACTGCGCAAGAGGCAGTCAGTGTCTCCATCGAGGAGCTTGCTGAGGTCTCAGCTCACTCTCCCAAAGTCATCTCACTGCTGTTGGATGGCTGAGCCTTCCTTACTCCTTCACCCCGGGCTGGAGCCCAGCGACCAGCACAGGTTCTGTGACCACAGCCCACTAACCCTCTCCCAGCCTCACCAGCCTGGATGGGCTTTTCCTCAACACAAATAAAATCTCTCCAGAGTGGAAATCAATTGCAGCTCCTGTCCCTGCTGGGTCATTCCCTGGCTCCGCACCGCTGAGGAGAGAATAAACAGCTCTTGGCACTGGGGGCGGTCAACTGCATTTTAATGGAGAGGTCACAGAGCAGCACCCAACAGCCCCGCGGCACAGTTTCACGTCTCCCACCACCGTGTGGGTCTCATCCCAGAGAAGCATCCCATCATGTGCATGAATGTAGGACTGCTTGTGCCAGCACTGGTTCCTGGGGTGCTGTGAGCAGCCAGCACTATGGGGTGCACACCAGGTGTGACCCTCATCCCATGGCAGTGATCTCCAGGCAGCCTGGCACCGCTGCACCACACGCAGAGGTGAGCTGGACCTCTCTGGCCGTGCCACAGCTGGAGGAGGCAGGGTGGCCACTGGATGCAGGGGCTGCGGGGGGGTGTTACAGCACCCACCTGCAAATTGCAGAGCAGCCAGTGCTTGCTGACACCCCCCCACACTGTGCGCTGCCAGCGTCCCCACTGCCTGAGGACTGTGAGCAGGCAGCAGGACTGGGCTCGTACAGGAGGACACTGGAGGGAGGAGGAGGAAGAGGAAGAAGCTTTGCCAGGCAGAGCAGGCCGCTCACTAGCTGGTGAAGTGTGCACGAGGGTATTGAGGCAGCGAGGACCAGGGATGGGGTGTAGCAGGAGCAGCCCAAGCACAGGAACCTCTCCCAGCCCTGGCAGACACTTCACACCCATCGTCCCACCCCTATAATTCCCCCACAGTGGGGGCCGGTACAAGCCCCCCAGCCCCTCGCGGGGCTGGGACAGGGTACTGCCGGCACAGCCACAGGAGGGTTAGCACCAGTGTGCAGCGAGGGCGCAGAGGCTGCCGCTGCACCCAGACGCCAGCACGCTGCCCCGCGGCTGTCCTGGCAGGAGACGCACAAGGGCGTGGGGAGCAGGAGGCTGGCTGTGGGAGCAGAGGAAGATGCTGGCTGTGCTCTGGCCTGCCCTGCCTGTAGGCAGGGAGGGCAGCTTGGACGCAGCCAAGTCACTCAGGGTGTGCCACCCTAGCAGCCCTGGCAGCCCAGTCCCACGGGGATCCCTGCCCGGACACAGGAGAGCTACAAAGCAGCACAAGGACCTGCAGCTCTGCCGGGGGCGAAGGCGTTTGCTCAGCTCCTGGCCCTGCGTGACGGCCAGCGCCTGCCTGTCCAGGCAGGGCCAGAGGCTGACGGCAGGGCGGTGGCGGGGGAAAGATGGCGAGGAGAGGCAGCCCTGGAGGGGACGATGCAAGGTGAAGGATGGGGAAGTCCTGTTGTTTGGGGTAAGCACCATCATGGCCAGGCTGTGGCTCCCTGCTCAAAGGGCCCTGCCCAGCACCCTGCACCCCAGCTGCTGGCCCCTGGACAGGGAATGAGCAGAGGCTGCACTTGGAGGCAGGAGGGGCTGGGGACAGGGGGTAGACATGGGAGGTCACCCAGAGGGGATGCCCTGCTGCAGAGCAGGGACAGGACAAAGCAGAGCAGCACAGGGGGACTCGCAGCACACAGGGTGGTGCTGGCTCATACCAGTCAGCAAGGGCAGCTGATGAAGAGCCGCTGTCATGCCCCTTGGCCCCATGGGGAGGGGATGCCCCATCAGCACTGCTCCTCCCAGGGTCTGCAGGGTGCTCAGGCTTCATTGGGTGCCTTCATCCTCATGAGCACAACATGGCTCTTCTTCCTACAGCCATAGACCACCAGCGCCACAAGAGCAGCGAGCAGGGCCACACAGACCAGCACGATGACCGCCACCACCACCCCGCTCTGCATGCGCGTCAGCCCCCACCACCCCCTCTCCTCTTCCTCCTCCTCCTTCACCTCCTCCTCTTCCCGTGGGGAGACTGGCAACCCCATGGGGGGCTCCGTCCAGGCACCCTCCGGCAAAGCCACCTCAGAGGGGCGAGCGGGGAGCAGGGTGCTGGGATGGGGGGAGGCAGTGGGGAGCTGGGGGTCAAGGAGCTGGTCCCGTGGCAGCCCAGTAATGGGGGTGCCCCGCAGGGCAGGGGGCTGGGCACACAGGGGGGGAGTGTCGCCCACCTTGTGGGGGTTTTCCTCCAGCCAGCCCCGCAAGGGCAGGATACCCTCATCACAGCGCCAGGAATTGTTGTGCAGCTTCACCTCTCGCAGGGTGGCCAGGGGGGAGAAGATGCCAGCTGGCAGGTACTCCAGGGCGTTGGAGTGCAGCTGCAGGTGCCGCAGCCCTGGAGTGGACCCGAAGAGGCCCCGTGGCAGTGCCTGAAGCTGGTTGTGGTGAAGAGAGATGTTCTGCAGCTTGGGCAGCCCCTCCAGTGCCCGGGCATCCAGGCGGCGCAGGGCATTGGAGTGCAGGGACAGCTCCAGCAGCTCCCCCAAGCCCCGGAAAGCCCCCGGAGCCACCGAGCGCAGCCGGTTCTTGCTGAGGACCAGGAGCTGCAGCTGGGTGAGGTTGCTGAAAACAGCAGCGGGAAGGGTGGAAAGCTCATTCTCATAGAGCCACAGCTCCCGCAGGTTGGGCATGGGCCCAAAGGCGCTGGGGGAGATGTCCCGCAGGCGGTTGACGTGCAGAGTGATCTTGGCAAGGGCTTGCAGGGGCAAGAAGACGCCACTCGGCAGGGCGGTGAGGAGGTTGTTGGACAGGTAGAGCTTCTGCAGGTTCCCATTGTGCACGAAGAGCTCCGGGGACAGTATCTCCAGCTGGTTCTGGTGCAGCCCCAGCTCCTGCAGCTCCGGCAGCCCATCAAAGGCGCCTGCTGGGATCTGCCGCAGCCGGTTCTCATAGAGCCGCAGCACCTGCAGCCGCGCCAGCCGCTCGAAGGCCCTGGGCGGCAGGCGGTCGATATTGTTCCTGGCCAGGTTGAGCTTGGTGAGGCTGGTAAGCTGGTTGAACACCCCCTCGTTCAGCTCCTGCAGGTTGTTTCCGTGCAGCTGCAGCTCCTTCAGGTTGCTCAGGTGGGCGAAGTGGGAAGGCTCAACCTGGAGGATCTGGTTGCTGGAAAGGAGCAGAGACTCCAGCTTGCCCAGGGGTTCAAAGACCTGCACAGGGAGCTCCTGCAGCTTGTTGCTGGCCAGACTGAGGTAGCGCAGGTCAGGCAGGTGCTGGAAGGCCCCAGGGCTGATGCGCGACAGGTTGTTCTTCTCGATGCGCAGCCCAATCAGCAGGGAGGCGTTGCCAAAGGACGAGTCACCCAGCTCAGTGATGCGCGTGTTGATGATCTGGAGGGTCATGGCGTTTGCAGGGATGGGGCTGGGGACCGTGGTGATGCCGGTGCCCGAGCACTCCACTTGGGCAGTGCGGACACACTGGCACTGCTCCGGGCACTGGCCACTGGCCAGCTGGATGCCCAGCAGCAGCAGCAGACACCACTGCCAGCCTCTCTGCTCCATTGGGCCTGCAGCAAAAACAAAGGAGGGCAGCTCAGTCCGTGCAATTTCCCAGCTCCCAGGGCCACAGCCAGGGATGGGTGCTGCTTTTGCCCAGGAAAAGGCCACAGAGGCCATGCCATCCTGCCCTCAGCATGGCAGTGAGGCAGAGGAGGACAGGTGAGGAAGGCTAGGAGCAGGCAGGGCTGGGCACAGCCCAGGCAGGAGTACAGAGTGGGACAGAGCCGGGGCCACAGTGCCTGGCTGCCATACTGCAGCTGTTAGTGGCATCCCTGGCGTCCCCCTTGCTTGGCTCTTCCAGCAGCCAGGAGTGTGGTTTCCTGTTTTGCAGCAAGCGCGGTGAGCTGCTACCAGTGGCACTGGCCTCCTGGCACCAGCAGGCAGCCGAGACCTTCAGCAGAGCCAGTCTGTGACACTCGCAGCCAAGAGGGTCCCAGGGATGCTTGTGGGGGCAGGAAGAAAGGTGCTGCCCCCAGCACCCCCAAGCACCCTCCTGGCTCTGCCTGGCAGCAAGCAGAGCTGAGCATCTGTGGCAGAGCCAAGAGCAGGACAGGCTCTCGCTGCCCAGGTATGCTTTCACTCCAACCCTGCGGGAGCCTGGGTCAATGGGGCCCTCTGCCAGGTCCCCAGCCCAGGCTGGGTACAGGGGTGGCCCTGCCTGCAGCCCATCCCCGGCAGAATGTCTCAGCCCTGACTGATCTGGGCTGTGAGAGCAGGGTGCCCAGTGTTGGCACCTGTATGCAGGCTGGTCCCAGGAGTAGTGCCCGGGGGACCGAGGGGTTTACAGCAGGGTCCTCCATCACCCCACAAGCATGGCCACCGTGGACACCCTCACCCCTCCTCTGGCCTGGGAGCTTCCTCCCTCCCTAGATTAAAACAGCAGTCTGGTGCCAAGCTGGCATGGAGCAGCCCCGCACTAACAGCTTTGAGCAGCACAAGGGACGGAGAAAATCCATGGCTCCCCTGGCCCTGAGCATGGCTCAGACAGACAGACAAGTTCAGCAGCGCATGGGTATGGGCACAGTGTCCCGGCTGGCACAGCACCCCGGGGTGCTGGGACACAGCCCCTGCCCCCCGCCCCAGGCTCCCTCCAGGGAACATGCTTACACGCTGGCTCTCCGGCAGGGAGGGAGGAACCATCCACAAGCCAGCACAGTTTATGTTTCCCATATGGAAACAATTTGCATCCAAGAACAGCTTCGTTTATAGCGAGCCATTTATAAACTTCCCCAAACACTCTGCACATCAAAAGCCCAGCTCATGTCACTCCCTCGTAAGGCAGCTCAGAGAGCATCCATGCTGGAGCGTCCTTCAGGAAAGACAGCTGAAAACAATTTATCTCCTCTTTTCTTCTAGGGACAAAAAGCTTACAGACCAAACAGCTGAATATTCCCTACTGCTCAGCCCCGCAACATCCCACTGATCCTAACCTCAGCCCCCCTAAAGGTTACTTTTCCCCCCTTAATTTTCTCTGTTGGTTATTTCAGATAGGTTGCCTGTGCAGCTATTTCAGCTCCCACAGTGCCTGAGTGGTGTCGCTTTTTTGGACAGCCCTTGCAAGACAAACATCTCCATTAAATCAAAAGATGCTGAACATACAGATCCCACCACCACACCGCCACCACCCCTCAGAGCTGCCCAGGGAGTCCCCTGGGCCCGGGGCCACTCACAGGGCTGGTAGAGGAGAAGAGACTCACCCGAGTGTCCTGCAGCCACAAGCGCCGAGCAAGCACAGCTCTGTGCTGGCAAGAGAGCCGAGTGTGGTTCATGCTTCCCCTCCCAGTATATAACCCGTCCAAATCAATGAATCAGCACAGGGGCAGCGTCGGGGTTAGGGAAAGCACTGGAGCAGAGCTGCTTCCAACTCCTGTTTCCTCGGCAAACACAGCAATAGTCTCAAGGATGAAGTTTTGGGTTTCCCTCTCCTGAACCCCAGTGCTCTTGTTTGAAGACAAGCAGATGGCCCCATGAACGCACTGCTCATGTCAGCCAGCACCCAAGTGGCAGATCAGTCCCCTGGTTCCTGGTGCGACATGACTGGGTGACCTAGCCCATGGGGGCAGGCGAGGCAAAGCCAGGTCCCTGGGCACAGTCCTTCCCTTCACTGGCTCACATTCACACCCGGGCTGCTCCACGGCATCGCCTCAGCACACGCACAGTGCTTGCCTCCCTGGCTACAGCTTCTGCAAGTGCCAGGACCTCCGGCTGTGCCGCAGGCCAGGGCCAGCAGCGCAGGCAGCCCCCAGCACCCCGACCCTGCCCAGGGCCACAGCTCTGGTTCACTGCCCCCAGCCACGGATGCAAATGGGCCAGGAACCAACAAGCTCTGCCCCACAGGCACCTCACTCAGCCCAGCCTGGGAGTGGGCACCAAGCAGGGGTCAGAGGCATGACTAATGCCAGCCAGAGGCCAGGCTGCTTCAGGGAGCCCTCGGCAAGCCAGAGCGCTTCCCACCAGCACTGCCATGCCTGCCAGTGCTGAGAAACCCCCTCAACTCCAGTCGCAGGCAGCCTTACAACCCCAAAACAGCACATGCTGCCATCTCCCAGGGGCTGCCCTGGCTGTGCCACAGCCCGCACGCTGCCCATCCTCAGCAGCCCTGACCCACGGGTGATGGAGCCCAGCACCCAGCAGTGTCTGGCAGGCTGGGTACAAGCCCATCCCATCCACTTGTTCAGGGCACCTGCTACCACCCTTCCCGTACCTCCTCCAGTCCATGTGGGTGCACAGGGTTTCCCCTGGTCCCCACGGCCCAGCCCATGTCCTCCCCCCCACACTTTTCCTGGGCAGCCCCAGTCCAGCAGCTGCCGGGAACGGATATTTGGGAGGAAGCAGCTAAGGTGAGCCAGCACGCGTGGCCCGTTTGGGCTTCCCAGAGCTGGAACAGCCCTGTGCTAACCACGGGGCAGCTGGTATTTTCCTGACCATGTCTAATTCCATCTTAGCCCACCCATGTTTCCACCAGCCGCAGCAGCCCCTGCTCAGGTCCCAGCCAGCGCTAACAAGCTGCTCAAGATGGGAATAGCACGGGACTGCTGCCGGAGAGGCGGGAGGAAGGCTGCTCCATCCCCATGCTGCAGTGTGTCCTGCCGTGCCACGAGGGGTGGGAGAGCACAGGGTAGTGCTGGGGACAGGGACACTCTTCAAAGAGGGGACCAGAGATCAAACTGCAGGGATGGAGAGGGGAATTTCCAGCCAGACTCAGAGGAAGGTGACAGGGATCGTGGGAGGAGGGTAAGGAGTGGGACCTCAGCCGGAGGCAACCACTCCTGGTATGTCAGATTGTATGGGGGCCCTGGCTGCCATGGGACATGCTGGATGGCCATGGACCCCTCCCCGGCCGGGGAGCGAGCACTGAGGCTGGGGCTACCCCCAGCCACGCTCCCTGCCCAGGCATTTGGGCATGAAGAAGGGGCATTCTGAAACCACCACCCACAAGTGCTTTAGCTCACGCTCTATTGACACAGCAGATTTTCCCAGCACTGTGGTTCCCAAAATAACCTCCTCGCTTCCTTGACAGCAGTGCAGCTGGAGGTCAGGCAGTGGGCTTGGATGCTGCCTGCTGCCTGCAGCCCTTGCAGGAAAGCAGGGCTCTCATGGCCTTATCTCACTCTTATCGCCGGCTCTGTCTGCCTGACGCCAGCGCCAGCACTGCTGGGTTCCTGCCTGCTCTGACTCATCCCAGAAGCACACAGCTTTTCAGCAAGGCAACACAGAAATTAAACCCCAGCACTTCCGAAAAACCACCACCCGAAGCCCAGTCCACAGAGGAATGTCAGACTCAGCTGCTTCCAAGCAGTGGTGCCCCAGGGGGGAACAAGGATGAAGTGGTTGGTACCCTCAAACACTCTGCCCCCAGGAAGGGGGGTGGACAGGTTACGGCCCTTACAGCCATGCAGAGTGCCCAAAGTTTCAGAGGAGCTCAGACAACAGCCCTGTCAAAAACCCAGCTGCCTCTGCCCAGGCCTAGGGAACTTGGCTCCTGCTCCTGGCTCAGAAGAATGAATCTGTTTTCAAGACATGCCTAAAAATAAAGTAAGGCTGAGTAACAACTCAAGCCTGTGCACCGCACCCGCAGCAGAGAGGGAGCCGCTCCCGGAGGTGAGCGAACAGGAGCTTGCCCCAGGCTATGCACAAGGAGAGAAGCAGCGGGTGTGAGAGCTTGAGACAGCAGTATGGACACGCTCTGCACATCTGGAGGGGAGAAGCAGTTCCCCGAGACAGCATGTGGATGTGAGTGAGGGTGAGGTAAGTGTTTTGCAGAGGGAGGATGCTCTGCATAACTGGGAGCTCACATGGTGCTGGATGGCGTGGAGCAAGCCTCGCACTGCAGGAAAGCCCCAGGGTCCGGCAGTGCTCTGCGAACCTTCCCCGCCTCCAGCTGCACTGGCCAGAGAAAGGCTGAACCTCCCAGTCCAAGCTTGGGATGGCATGGAGTCACTGCCATGTCCCTATGCCTCTAAGGGGATGATAGACCCCAAGGGCGGGCATCTGCCAGACCCCGTGTCCCCATGAGATAGGGCTGGCAGCAAAATCTGTGGTCAGGGCTGGACTGGCTGGCAGCTCCTTCCCCCAGAGCCCCCAGCCCTCCTCCTCTGCACAAGCACAGTTTTCTCATCCCTCACCAAAGGCAGTGGCTAAATGAAGGAAAAGCCAGAGTGCATGGTGCTGCCTCACAACCCAGCTGCTGCCAGCAGCCACAGCCCGGGCCAGAGGTGCCCTTACACCCAAGAGCCCCCAGCACTTTCTTGCAGGCATTTCTCCACCTGCTGCCAAGCCCACAGGAAGGCTGAAGGTCCTGGGGCAAGTGGTCCCAGCTAGCACTACCCCTTGCATTTTGACATAACCCTGCCTAGGGCTTCTGGAGGTGGGCAGGGCCAGAAGCAGGCATCCCTTGGCCACACTCTCTGAGCCACTAGCATTTAACGCAGTCTGGGTTCCCAGTGCCACCACAGCTCCTGTCTGTCCTGTGACCTCTTACACAAGCCCCAGTGCTCCCCCACACTAAGCTCTGCCCCAAAACACAACCAGCCAGAGAGGATCCAGAAGCCTCAGAACAGGAGTGTCACCGATTTTTGGGGAGGTCTGCCTCGCTCCCGGGCAGCGGGACTGTCCTGGGTCTGTCAGTGCTGGCACACCTCCAGCACATCCTCGCAGCAGGGGTGGCGGACCCAGCAAAGCAGAGCAGCTCTGAATCACCAAGGGACTTGAGACTGCTTGGAAAAAAATCATGTAATTGCTAAAATTAGCAGTTTGTGGGCTTGGCTGGGAGAGTGCATTGCTCATCTGCCAAACAGCTGAGCACACTCACCCACACCGTGCTGCTGCACAGCCCAGCAGCCCCAGTTCCCCCCAGCGCTCGCCTCAGCCCCTGCTCCCCTCACACCTCCAGCTCTAGCTGAAATGGCCTCCCTGGGAAGGATGGGACATCGGCAGACCCCACTGTTGCCCTCAGCACAGGGCTGGGACCCCCCTCAGTTATTTTACACTGCTGCAAAGTGCTCACCACACAGAGAAACCCCCACGGTGGCCCCCAGTGCTCGCTGAGACTGGCTGTCCCAGGGCATCGGGCCAAACTCTGCTGAAGCAGAGGAGGGGGGTGGAGGGTTGGGCCAGGGGCCAGAGGAAGGGGTTCCCTCAGTGCTTTAGCACAGACACCTCCAGGCCTGAGTCCTGCAGCAGGACACACAGACTCAAGCCAGAGCTGATGGGTGAAGGAGGGTACATTCATCCCTCAGGCACCAGTGCTGGGGCCCCCCATCCATTAGAGAGGCACCAGCAGCCCCTTCCCCACCACACGCCCACTCTAAGCCTTGAGGAGCCCAGAGAGCTCCTCCATCGGGCCAGTGAGCCAGCTCCTTGTGGCATTTTCAGCTCCCTGCTTGAGGAATGCAGGGCCAGGGCTGCCTTGCTGCTCACAGCCACAGGATGCCTCCTCTGCATCTGCCCCAAGGGATGGGGACGTGTCCTGCCTTCCCTGGGAAAGTGCATGTGCAGGGTGGGAGTTTTGGGAAGAAGCGGAGGCCCTGGTCTCTCCAGAATGGGGTGCAGGGCTGGCCATCAGACTAACCTCCATCCAAGCACCAGCACACGACCCATCACAACCCCCCTGGAGCTTGAGAAAAATGGCATTTAGAATCTCCAGCACAATCAGGACTTGCTCAGGCAGCAGAACCATCTTCTTCAGGCTCGGCCCTGGCCCAAGCTCCGAGCGATAGCAGCAGCACACAGGGCTTGGCGCAGGCTCAGGGCAGCGCTAGGCTGGAAGGAATGCAGGGCTTGCAGCCAAGTCCGCCTGGAGAGATAATCCAAAGCGGAAAGAGCTTGTCCGATGGGCGCTGAGAGGTGGGGGGAAAGGATCAGCTGGAGCAGGAGGCAATGGCAGGGGACTATCTCTGCTCATGCATTGAGAGGTGGTTGCTGGATCAGCTTCACCCTGTTCTCCATCTCTGTAAAGCCATCCCTGGCACCAGGGAGTGCCCCAGGGACCCCTTTGCAACATCCCAAGGGGGAAGGGGCCCCATGTCTCCCCAGTGCCCAGGGGAAGGCAGCAGAGGAGGACACAGCAGGCAGAGGAGCCGCTGCCAGCCTCCCTGGCTCCCTGCCCTGGGCTTTTTTCACCTAGAGAGACGCAAAAGGCACAGCTGGAAGCCTGGCACATGGGGAGAAACACAATAGTCCTACAGCAGCAATTGCACAAGAGCAGCCCCCAACACTGCAGTGAAGTGGGACTCACCCCATGGCCCAAGCAAGAGGCCTTATCGACCCACAAACACCCAGGTGGGAAGGGGATGCAAGGCCAGACTTTGGCTACAAAAATGAAGGCATTAACACCTCCAGAGCGTGCCCATCTGGATGAAGCAGTGGCAAAGCAGGAGCTTCAGGCCTCCCAATCACTGTAAGAGTTTGTAAACACTTGCAACCCCAGCCTTGTCCCACTGGTACGTGCCTTTGGCTGCATCTCCTCCCAGCTATTCCGTCATCCCTAGGAAATGCCGTGCTCTGATATCGTGGCTGCTGAATCAGCATCCCCAGGCGAGATGTGCAGGTTGGAGGCCTGGAGGAGACACGGCCAACGCTCCATAACGTCAGGCAGGGGCTCCCAGAGCTGCTGCCTTGCAGCCAGCCGTTGCACGCACTCCTGAGCCACGGAGCACTGCCGGGTGCCTTCTCAGAGCACATCTGCTGTCACTCAGCTTCTCTTTGCCACTGGGAGAGGGAAGATCTGAGGTACAGGCTCCGATCTCACTGCTGTGCACTGGAGGGCTGAGTTGCATTTAGTAGGCACCTACCTGAGCTCACTCCCCTCTGTGAGCAGCAACAAGGGCCCTCCAGCAGCTACTGGCCTCACATGGCAGAGGTGAGACAAAGGACGGAGACACCAGGGACACAAGCACAGGACACAGGTGTGGGTGGCTTGGAAGGGTCCTGCAGCAGCTGGGAAACAGGCAGAGAGCTGCCAGCACTTAGGGCAGCAGTTAATTCCCTCTTCACCACCCGGCTCTTCGGGATTCTCTGCACTCAAGTCCTGACAAGCAAAGGAGAATGGTGCCTGCTGTGACATCAGGCTGGAAACACACGGCGTACTTCCATGGGCCAGCATGGAGGATTAGAGCTCCTACTGCCCTCCAGGATGTCCTAAAGCAGAGAGAGCAGGAGCAACTGCCACAGAAACAAGCGGAGTGAGTTAGGGAAGATGCCTGGCTAGGCTTCGTTTTTGATGTATCCTAAGCACTCCCAATGAGGATGGGTCCCCTGAGGCAGCTCCTGGACTCAAGGACTCGTTAACATGCAGGGCTGTTAACCCATGACTCTGCATCCCATACAGGAGCCAAGAGTATGAAGTTGATCCCCTCAGCCACTGAGTGCAGACGTGCTTCGCATCCACCCTTTCCCCCGGAGCAGGGACCCCCCAGACCAGGGACTAGACACCTCCAACCTTTTCCAGCCCACCCTACCCCATGCCCAGCCTGGTGCCAAAGGCTGGGCAGTAGATCACGAAGGTGTGGGATGCAGAGACCAGGAAAAAGCTTGCCAATACACTGGGGATGGCAAGCCATCGGTGTCTGGAGGCAGCAGCAAGGCAGTGCTGCCCAGACAGAGGGCCTGAGGTGCAGCTGCACTTTTCCCCGAAGAGACCTTCCTGCTGCCTCCCCACATGCCATAACCACCATCACCTGACCTCCGGGCTAAACGGAGATGGGATTTAAACATGCATATCCTTGGATTTCCCAGGCCAGGGAGTTTTGCAGGAAGGACTGAGCTCAGCTGGGCAACAAGCTATGAATCAGAGGCTGCTCAAAACAGGACAGCTCAGAGGAAGAGTTAGTAAAACACCCCAGGCCCTTATTGCTCCAGCCTTTTGTTGTCTGCTGACTTCACTTCCCCGTCTGGCTCAAGAGTGGGGAAAGCCCGATGACAGCATGTAAAGACGAATCATCCTCCTCTTAGCACTTGACTGTACACAGCCATGTGCCAAAGCCCCCACGTGCCAGAGCTCAGCGACTGTGGACCGGGAGCCAAAGGAGCCGTGCAGAGACCCAGCTGGCCTCACTGCAGGGCTGGGGTGGCCAAAGGAGGGTGCAGAAAGATGGCAGCTGCTGCTAAGCCCCTGCTCTGCCAGAGGTCAGACATCAGGGTGTTGTATGCCCATATGGCAACCAAACTGTTGCTTTTTCTTAGAAATCAGTGTGCATCCGAGTGCCCAGAGCCATGGGTGCACTGCTTCAGTGCCTCACCAAGGCAAACAATAACCAGTATCATTTGTAGAACAATTTCCTTGTTAGTCCAGATTATACTTATCTCCTCCCTGCTGCAAGCAGATGCTTGCGTGGCATCAGTAGGACATGCTGGAGCTGGCACAACACTAACTGGTCATTACAGTTGTCCAACCAAGAACCTAAATTTGTAACAACTGTCTTCTTTTAAGCACTAGCATGCAACCACCCAGAACCACCACCAAGAAAGCTTTCTGTTGCTTTTGTGTTTGACATACAGCAATAAATACTCTGGAGTTTCTGTTTACGAATCAGTCCCAGTTTGCTTTGCATCCACTGTAGCAACTCGTATTTCTCCTTTAGAAACCAGGCTCACTAAATTTTGTTAAACCTCACCACCAAGACAATAGTTATTTAACACCATAGAAGTACATAACCTTTTCACAGCCTAGAAGAAGAATTCAAGTCCAGCAGCAGAGCACCCTGAAACAAAGCAGGCTTTAGTTTATTTTCATTGCCTGAAGTAACACACAGCAGGGATCAAGCAACAAACCTGCAGCAAATGCAAGCTCTCTTCACCTCAGGCTTGCACTGTGCCATTTCAAGGCTATCCAGGAAAGACCTCAACAGTCAGAAAGTCAGTAAGGCTACAAAAGGACTCCTAGAGTATAGGGCCTCCTGCCCAAGGAGCCAGGAAACCACACCCAGAGGCCTTTGAGCAGGACATTAGAGTTTTTGAGAACAAGCTAAGTCACGTAATTAAGAAAAAAGCTAATAATTAAATCCAAGAGCTACCAAAGCACATGCAGTCCAACAGCTACCAGTCTACTTACAAACTAAAATATTCACGTAATTCAAAATATTAATAAACATTTCAGCATGAAGACCAAAACTCACACCATTGCCTTGTAGTTGCCTTTGTATATCAACACTTGAAAGGGCTGGAAGTCAGAGCGTAATACGGTAAATAATACATGACTATGTATATGCTACTGCATAGTGCAGTTTGATGGAGGTGTGTCTGTTCCCCAGCCAACTTCAAAAAATGTGGTGACACTTCAGGGCCCTCAGTTCAGACAGGCTCCCTGCCACTTTGCTGCACCCCCATGTTTTGCCAGACAAGCCCAGGAGAGAGCATCCCTTTTCTCTCCCAGCTCAGTGGGGACCAGCTCTCAAACCAGCCATGCTCCTGGGGAGCCAAGCCTCAGTCCCAGGCATCTGCCCAGGTGCTCTGCTTTCACGACTCAATGCATCATGCAGTGAGTAGGACCTTGCTTTTCAGACCACTGGTCAAAGTTTAAGGATGAAAGTGTTTACTTAAAGTTCAGAGTTGTAGTAATGTTACAAGGTTTCCAGAAAAACAATCAAACAACAAAATACATCACGATTATACTTCCTAGCCTAGCGTATCTTCCTCTGGTTAAGCTAGAGGAAAGCACTGTTAGCCTAAAACTGTTCCCCTCCCTCCTGCCATGTCCTGGAAAGGGGCTGAGGACAGAAAGCAAAACCCAAGACACTTGGGTCATACCATTCTGCCCCCACCCCAATTTTTTAAAGTTATTTTCCAGCATCTCCTCCCCAAAATACCATTTGTTTTCTCCATAAGGAGACAAAACATTGCAGGCAGTATAAGGCATAGGAGAGTCTGGAGTACTACAGGCAACCTCTAAAGCCTGGTTAAAGCCGTGTGTTCCTGTGTTGATGTTCCCTACGTTGATGCCACTTCCATCGGAGCAGCGTGAGCACGACAGCATGCAGTGGTGTCCGGCAGGGACAGGGCTGCAGTCCAGAGCAGGCAACTACTAGTACGCACATAAAGGTGACCACAGATTTTCTTTCAGCTCTCCCTCTGGGTTCATGCACCAAGTGCTGTAGCAATATACAGCGATTACAACCACTTTTGGCAAACACTAAGATACATAAAAGTGCATTTTCATTATGCTGTAAAGACAAGGTCTTTATGGTTCTTGCTATGAAGATTCTTAATCCATATCCAAATCAAGTGTCAACTGCCCAATTGCTCAAAATGCATCCAAAACAATGTTTCTAATCCTCTCTGGCTGATATTCTCTATCTTCTTAAAAATGCTACCAGAACTACAGGCTGAGCAGGAGTATTTTTGCAGTGCAAGAGCTGCCTGGTTTTACCCATCACATATAGACTGAGCACAATGGTTACAGTCTGGAGTGCTAAAATCAAACTGTGAAGGCACAAGAATAGCTGACAATAAGCAACTCCAGTATTAAAATAGGGTTTAGCACTCCTGCGGGCTGGCAACTCCTCCCACCAGGCAAGAGTCATTAAACCTGTTCCTCTGACACTGTTGGTTTGTACTGTGATGCTGGGAGCAGTTTGGGTTGGAACAGCTGAGAAATGAAACTTAGGCTGTCTGACATCTTCACCATGTGAGTGGGTAAAATCTGGAGTTGCAAGAGGAATTGATGTGGGTGTGCTGGTGTCCATGTCGGGCGCCACTGTTACAGCAGTCTCCCAAGATGATGTTAAATGTGTCGTCACAAGAGAAGGTGAAGTCTGGGAGTAAGTTGAGCTGGATGTCCAGGATGCAATGGCTGTGCTTGGCACGCACTTCAGGTGATCTACTGTTAGAGCTACAAGAGAAATATTCTGTAGAGCCAGCGGGCTGTGACACACTAAAGATTGCACATTTTTAACTGTCTTCATGCTCTTTTGGAGCCACTCTTGGAAGCCAAGAATTTGGCAATCACATTTCCAAGGGTTGTCATCAAGGAAGACTTCTTGCAGCTCAGGTAAAGCAGTAAAGAAGTCTCCAGGAAGAGACTGCAGCTTAGTACTATTCAGGTAAACTTTCTGAAGGTGCTTGAGATTATGAAAGAGGTTTCTAGGAAGAACCTCAAGCCTCTTATCAAAAAGGGAAATGTTGTGCAGTTTCTGAAGGCTCAGGAAGATGCCCTCCGGCAAACTGGAAATATTATTTGTATGCAGAGAAAGGCCCCGCAGTTCATTCAGACCACTGAATACATTCTTAGGAAGAACACTAAGCTCTGGATTAAAACTCAGCACAAGAAGCTCTAAATTTGTCAAGTTACTGAACACAAAATCTGGTATGGTTGAGAGCTTTGTGTGATACAGCCACAGGCTACCAAGATGCCTCATTTCTCCAAACAATACTTCTGGAAGAGACTTCAGTGGGTTCTTGTACAAGGTCAATTTAGAGAGGTCATGCAAGTGCAGAAAGAGCCCAGGAGGCAAAACCTCAAGCTTGTTTCTGGAGAGCGTTAGGCTTTTCAGCTTATGAAGACAATGAAATGCATCAGGGGCGATGGACTGGATGTTATTGGAATGCAGGAAGAGTTCCAGCAGCTCCTTCAGGCTATCAAACATACCAGACTCTATTGAAGACAGCCTGTTAAAATACAGCATCAGCTTCTCAAGCCTGCTTAACGCACTAAATATATTTTTAGGCAGTACTGCCAGATAATTTCTTGACAAGTTCAGTACTTTGAGTTTGGTGAGTTTCTTCAGAATGCCACTAGGAAGTGCTGTTAGTTGGTTTTTATTCAAGAAAAGCTCCTTCAAAGTAGCTAGTTTGTCAAACAGGTTTTCTTCAATGGATTTCAACCTGTTATTTTCAATGATCAATTGCTGAAGCTGTACCATGTCATCAAACACTTCTGGGGGCAGTTCAACCAGCTTATTATCTAGCAGTTTGAGGGCTTTTAGCCTTCTTAAGCCTTTAAAAGCCATTGGTGAAATCAGAGAGATGTTGTTTGAAGACAAGATGAGATGCTGCAGTTCCACCATCCCAGAAAAAACATCCCCCAAGTATGTTACATTAGTGTCTGTTATGTGAATTTCTGTCATGTTGCAAGGCAGATTTAACAATTCCAGGTCTTTTATGTGAGTACCAGAGCAATGAATTGCATTTTCTGAAGAGCAGTCACACTTCTCAGGACAAATAGATGCATCCAACTGGAAGAAAAGCTTGATCATCACTGACAAATGCAACACCAACATCCTCATTGAAGTGCCAGAAACATTAGCTGTTACAAGAGATAAGAGAGAGTCAGGATTTGATCACAGGTAGTTAATAACTTAGCAGCCAAAGTTGTGCGAATATATCATAAAACCTGCAAATGTGTGCAAGATTTCTCTTGGCTTGAAAGCAAACTTCAAAATCTGTTACTATTGACCGCAAATATTTTTAAGGTGGCCAGCTTAGACTGAGAAGTACAGATAAAGCTCTTTTGTAAATCAAGTATTCCTTGTTTATATTTGTACTAGTCAAGCATAATAAAATCATGATGGAACTAAGTAGTCACAAGGCATGTATTTATTTGAACAGAAAAGCATTGTACTAAGTTACACACAGAAAGTCTTTAAAAAAAAATTATCAAAAGGTCCTGCACCCACGTTTTCTTACTGTAGGTTACTGGAGATTTAAAACTCCAGTTCAGCCTGCAGAAATAGATAATGGAAGTACAAAGGGTGTTCTACATTTTAAGTGGCCAAAAGCAAAACAGCACACACAGTTCTGTTAAATCATCTCTCAGCATTAGCAAGTGATCACTTCTTGTAACAGCCCAAGAACACACAAGAAGCAGCAGGCTATTTTTGACATAGCCTGAAATAACACACAAGAACTTAGGTAGCACAGGACAGCGGTGAGCCTCTGATAACCAACGAGACTCATCTCAACAGATTAATGCAATACTAAGTTATCAGTGGTATTAAAAATCTGACAAAATGAGAGAAAAGAAGGGCATGAAGGTAGCTAGAAAGCGGTAGCAATAGAGGTATATCTGCATGAAACAAGTCAAAGTTGGAAAGTTGTAGACATTTCCAAACAAAAAAAGGAACAGGAAAGCAATCATTGTAGCTGTAACGATAATATTTAAGAGAGCAAGTCAAACAGAGATCCACAGTTTAGAAATACTTCCTTAGTGAAATCAGCAAGTCCAAGTGTATCAGAAACCTGGAAGTCAAGCACCTGGCTCATCAGCAGGAGAAGCACCAGCTGGGACTGCTGGAATAGCTGGGTAAATTCTGCAGATGTAACTGGAATAGCTAACACCATCATGTCAGTCTTCAGCACCAAGAATACTGGGGGAAGAGAGCAGCTCCATCTCAACATACCCTTTTCCAGGGGCAAGGATGAAGCTCTCCCGTATCAACCCCACAGACATCAGTACAAACCCCATCACTTAAAAAGAAAGGTGGGGTAGCAGAACTTCTCACATGCCTGAACTGCTGACAAGAACATACCATGGATCAAAAACAGCTGCTGCACCAAAAAAAAAAAGCAAGAATAAGTACTTTCAAAAAAGCCAAAACAAAACAGTAAAAAAATTTTTGGTTAGGTTCAGAGTGCTGAAGACTGGTACAATCTGCATCCCTTCCTTGGGAAGGAAAGGACACGCTATCCAGTGGTATCAACTACCACCAATGTGGTGCTGCAAAGCAAGCTCTTACTGGGCCTTCTACAACTCTTTCAATGAGGCTAACTCACCAGAAAAAGATTGTGAGATTTTACCCTTCCAAAGGACTTTTCCATGTTGAAGAATTTTTTTGAGAATCTTGCCCTCCTAGTAATTCCCCCCAAGCCAAAACCAACCATCTCTCATAAGCCAGCGATGCCTTCAACTCAGTGAACTTGTAAGGCAGCCTGTCCCTGATCCTACCCATCCCCACCTCAGCACACTGACAGTGAGCACACCCGGGGCAGCTGCTGAGCCGCTCCTGGGCGGTGCCTAAGCACAACCTTCCACACAGGGCAGAAATGCACCAAGAAGTGTTGGTTTCAAGCCCGGACTGGCATCTCAACCTGCACCAACTCAACCCAAGACCACAGGAGTACAGGATTCACTGAGACAAGAGAAAAAGGGTTCTAAAAACCAAATTGGGGGAAAAAAACCCAAACAAATCCCCCCAAACTGTTATGCTACAGCCTGCAAATGCACATCCCTCAGAGGGCATGACTGCAGGCCAGAGTCTGTAAAATAAGAAACAGGCTAATGCTAGACTATATAGACTGGGGATGTCTGTTTTCCTGGTCACGTAACAAAAGGTGAGAGTATTCAAACAAACAAGCTTAGACACTCAGCAGTGCTGGAAGACATACATTTCTGCAATGCAATGGTAGAAATTCTTTGCAAGAGATTAAGGCCACAAGCACATGACTGGCACAGGAACTGGATAATCCTATGGATCTCAAACATCCAGAGCTGCTAATGGTGTTTTGTTTTGGTGGGGTTTTTCTGAGGAGTATTTAAACTTCTATAACTGAAGATTTTAACAGTAGAGAACAGTAAGGACCACATAAGGGTCATAATTATACATTCCTGTGCATTAAAGTTCTCAAACTCTCACATGAGACACCTGGCATTCCAGAAAGGACACCAGCCTGGCTGGTCATTTACCATGTTCTGGTTTACAGCCTCTTTCCCTTTCTACCACCCCCTCAGCATTTCTCTAGACTATGAAAGGATGGCAGAAGTGAGACATTAATACCGTTACTATAGTAAAAGTCAGAGTCAGCTTTGAACTTAGTTTCATTGAATACTGAGCACATGTATCATCTACTATGGGGCTTAACTTTTTAACCTTCTTGCATGAAAAAGGAGTTTTGAACTGTACCTTAGAAACTTAACTGCTTTTTAGAGCAACTTACTAGGAGAATAGCAGGCAATCAGGCTTCACCATGATTCTGCACTTTAAATGGGAAGTAAACCAGCAAAACGCATCCTCTAGATAACACTTTCACCCATATTTGGTTAACTACTGTGAATGTTTAAAGAATATTTTAAGCTTCAGAGCAGATTTTGCCTACATTCACAGTTGTGTAAGCAATAAGCTTCCATAGGTTGTGTGTAACTCCAAAAGTAGAATTTGAGACAACTCACAGAACAGGAGAAAGTTTGAAGTCACATGTGCAACAGCACAAAACACACTTGTAGCTTCTCTGACAGTGTTCAAACTGGAGCACGTGTTCCAACCAACCCAGTGCAAACCTTGGTAAAGTCAGAAATCTACATTTCAACATGAATTATGATCAGAAATCTCCAATTTGTTAGTCTCACCACAGTCTGCTACACAGGTGCACTGGGTTTTTGAGTGGACACATCTGCTTTGAACAACCAAGTGACTGACATGTACCTTCAAAAGGCTGCTCTGACTTTTACTTTCTTGCAGGATTGGCGTCAAAGCAATCTGAGTAAGGAATGAAGATTTTACTTAACGTTTTGATTAAACAATCCAGGATTGACCCATGTGGTTTCTGTTTTTCCTCCAGGTCTTCTGGAGTCACAGGCTAACAAAACCTAAAGCCTTGAAAGATTCTGAAGAGAGAAAAGCTTTAAGACAGCAAAATATTAGCTTCAAAATTGAAAGATTAAGTTTTTAAGTTTTTGTAATTAAGTAACCAGGTGTATCAGACACCATCAGTTTCTTGTCTTCAAGTTTAAAATAACGTGCTTTGCCAATGAATATTTAAATGGAAGGCAAGTCGCAGGATGGAGAAGATATCTTTCATTTCTGTGTGATTTTTCTGAAGATGACTGCAACAACAGTGACAGCTCACAACCAGGAACATTTGCCCAGGAGTTTTTTTCAAGATAATGCCTCCCACATGTTAAGGAACAGAAGGAACATCTGGATAACAGAAGGTAGAAACAAGCTGCTATCACTTGTACAAGGTCTGACTTTAAAATGGCTTTCATAAGCCACCAGGTGAAAGCACAGTCAGCATGATCCCACTGCGGACCTGCTGGCACGCAGCATGCACACTCCTCCAGCCCCATCCTCCAACATGCAGAGGCACTGAACAAGATATTCCTGACATCAGTGGGAGTAAACCTGTATTCTGCAACAAGCTTTGGATGTAATTGTATAAAGAACAATTTCACGAAACTAATGAAAAGAGTTAAAATATCTGTTCATTTTAATTTTATTTTTCAAAGAGCTTCAGTCACAAAAATGATTTACAAGTCTATTTACAACTCTATTGTACAGTTATTTATGTATGCCTCTTGACAACAGGGTACCATTCTAGAGCAGCAATACATATTTTAAATACAAAGATGTAGTATCATTTCAGATTTAAAAATAAAGAGGAAGCTGAGCTTCTAGAGCGCGCTGTAATGGTGAACCTTTTAATCTGTGTTAGGCTTGAGGAATTCATGACAAACTGAGTAGTTTCTGGTTTACATAATTATCAAACAAGCTGCAGTTTGTTGAAAATAGCTTTAAAAACCTGAAGCTTTACTGTATAAAATCAACATATTCAAGACTCTAAAAATTGTCAAAAACCCACAGCTTTCCCTTAGATGTACAAAAACCTAAGTTTACAATTCAGAATTTCATGGGAGAAATCCTACAGAACTTTAGCTCTCTCATTTTGTGATGACCAACATAAGCATTAAAAATTTGCAGCATAAAAGGACTCCACATCTGCTTAGCATTATACTGTATATACATATACAGTACAGGATTATTTACGCAATTTGGGATGACTGTTCAGCACAACCTTCATGAAGAAAGAAAAAATAAATAGAATTAAAAATCCAACAACTTTTTAAAAGTGCAACAGTAAGAGTTTCCAATTTAAAGTTACATGAATATGGACAGTCAGTTCTGTGGGTGTTTTAGCCGCTTCTACTCACGCATTATTTGCAGCATTTTCTTTTTACAGTAGTTTTAGTTCTATAATAAACAAAGCTAGAGTTACTGCTAATTGAATCTGAAGGGAAGAGAAAAGAAATTTTAAAAATAACCCTGAGGGATATACAATTTAAAGATCTTGCAATTTATTTCTAAAAAGTAACATTTATTATTTAGCAATTGCTTTTCTGGATAGACCAGTCCTTTAAGTATGTGCATAAATAATATTTAAAAATCAGTAATATTTACAAATCCTAATACATCAAAGTAAAATACGTACAGATTAAAGTCTGCATACACAAATAATTTAATAATAAATCAAACTCCTCAATGTAAGGCCAAAATATACAGCAGGAAGAAAATGTCTACCAAGTATCTAGTGGAGCTCACTACATTGGTCAGTTCACCCGAATTCAGACTTCCAAGATGAACATTAGAAGAGATTCTTTCCACTACAAACTGAATTTCATCTTACTTCAAAGCAGGAACTGAATACACTAGTGCAGATCTAGTTTGCTGCATTTCTGAAAACCAGAAAAAGTAAACTGCTCAAAATGAGAAAAATTATAGGTGGCCAAACTCAGCTCTTGGGCAGGAAGGCATAAATCCCAATAATTGCAGAAGATGCAAAAGCTTATTTTGTGGCTGAACTTGCAACAACAAGAAGGATTCTCAGAAAAGCTGATTTATTATTCTTGACTAAGCGTCAGAAGCAAATAGGTCAGAGCTCAAGCATGCAACCTCAAGAACATTTACTAACACTGAATGCATACCTTGAGGAAACTAGCTCCCATTTGCAAAATATTCAAGTTTAATAGGCTCATGACCCATTAGTCAATCAAGTGAAGACATTTGGCAATTTCAGTTTTAGTAAGGTTTCCCTCTAAAATGTTCTCTGAAGACAAGCCCACCTTAACAAGCTGTTTCCTCTCCACTGTCTAGGTAAGTTTAATAGAGTGAAGACTGAAATACTAGCTTCAGAAACCAAGCAAGCTGAGAGAAATTATCAGTTTAGAGAAAGTATTAAGCAAAAGCATATAAAAGGGAAAGATACAAATATTTTCTTTCATTTCTGATGGAACAACTGAGTTAAACCAGTCAGCGAAATGGAAAGGAAAAGCTTATGTGTTTAAGGATAAGTCACAGCTCCCAGGTCCAAGATGCATAGCTTCACAACATTTCTCAACTTAAATATTATTTTTCTTTAAATTTGAATACTACTTACGCAGCTGAGAATTACTCTTCATCAATTATTCCATGGTACACAAGATTTTGTAAAATCAACATTGACAGAAAGTAGCCAACTGACTCAAGTTCATGATTAATAAATTGATCCAAATCCACAATTGCAGACCCCTTAAAAGCTACCAATGTTGTTCGACGCTTATGACCATAAGAAGCCAGGATAATAAGACTTTTACATTGCTCTATTGAATGAATGCTAAGCAAACCACTTCCCCCTTCCTCCTGCTCCACCCCTCAAAAGCAAACAACAACAACAAAAAAATAATCAGGAAGAGTTGACAGCTGGACTGGAGGATAGTACACCATAGGCATACCATTTATGAGGAGCAAGTGCTAATAACTTAAACCCCCAAGTTCTAGGAAGAAGACTTCCAAACCATTTAGCACCACTTTAAAATTCCCCATTGGCACAGTATGTTCAACACTGCAGAAACCATAACACGAACAGCGAGAGACACTGTCCATACTGCCTTACAGAACAGCACAAGGGAATTAGGTCCGACTTGAAAAAATTCCCCTTATTAATGGTGGAATGGAATTGTCTCCACAGGAATTTAAAACGAAACAAAACCACCCCCCCTCAAATTCCATCATCAGAATATGCTCACTTCAGAATGATCGCAGGTGGCCAGGGAGTTTGGGGCCCTCCTTCCTCAACTACTCTAAAGGACCCGACTCCCTTCTCTAAAGGATCTCTACAGAATCGTGACTTCTCCAGATCTCCTCCCAAAGCTTGGAGGTGTCTGAACCAGTCATTTGCATCTGGCCAAATCAGACTGATCATGAGGCAATACTTTATCATCTTCACAAAAACATCAAAGACGACTCTTCTGAAAGTTAGGAAGTTGAAGATGATTTGGAGATAAGTAATTTGTGGTTTTAAAAGAAAAAGAAAAGTTTTAAGCTTTGTATGTGAAGACAATGCCTACCCCTACATCTTTGCAGACCTAGTTTTCTAGTGGTCTTGTGTTTTGACACCGCCTAATGGCAAAATGATGTATCGCTACCCCAGGTGCTTAAGCAGCATTATTGGTGATGCAAGCTTTTATTTATTTTTTTTTTAAATAAATAAAATCCATACAAGCCTTATAGTTCTGCAGCAAGACAGATTTTAGCTCATCTATTTTTTCTTAATTTTGTTTCATACAGCTACATATAGTGCTTAAGACATTAGCAGACTCTTTGAAATGCGTATGTTTTCAACATGCACAAATCCCAAGTGTGGGCATGTGAAAATATTCCTCCCTCCCACCCTCATTTCCCTTGCAGCAGTAACTCTGGTCTTACTACTTCAAGGTATATAGGAAAACTATTAAGATTTACAAATAAATCATGGTCCACAAATGGATAATCTAACCTTTCTGCTGGAAAAAGAAAGGTCTGTGGAGAAATGCATAGCTAAATGTAATAAAACATGAGACAGAAGAAAGTGTTAAGATTCTCCAGCCTTCCTTCTCCAAAAACTTTAGAGTGTAGCCAAATGTCTCCTCCTCTGGAGGCTACCTAAGCCCTTCCTTGGGGTTAGCTAGAAAGGCAGCTAAGAACCCACTTGAAAAGCAATGTGCTTTCCTCTTAAGGACAGAGCATATTGCTTCTATAGCATTCCCAATTCCTGCTGTGGCAGACTAAAGAATTAAACTTATTACCCAAACATTACACCTGGAGACAGTCCTTACTCATAGGGACAAACTTAGAGGTACACACACCAAAACTTTAGAACCATTCTGAGGCACAAAGCTTTTCAACAGTGAATATTAAAAAAAACAAACCAAAACAAAAACATGACAAGGTTATGTGCCTCTACTACTACCGTGAAACCATTACATCATACGGTTTACATGAACATGTGCCCGGGTAAGCAGGTTAGAACAATGATCAAGATATTTCAGGCAAATAAAGTGAACCTGTTTTTAACTGCCCTGCAGTTTAAACCTTCAAATACATCTCATTTAGGAATAATGAAATTTAAAAGAAGGTGAAAGGAACACAATCATTTCTGTTCTGCCTAAGGGAACCTACATTTTTAAAATGTATAGCTATAAGATGTCTGACTCTGAACTTCGTATTCAGAGAGACAAAACAGCTGGAAACATCTGTATTAGAATGACATTTAGTGTACTGTAATTTCAAATAAAGCCTTAAAATTACATTCTTCTGAATACTACTAAAGACACATGTCACCAAGATCCACTGTTATGTTACAGTGATGATTTGATATGAACCATTTTCTTGGGATGGTACTTTTGCTTCTGTTGTTGTTCTGGGTTTTGGTGGCCATTCTGGATCAACCAGCAGTTCCTGAGCTAGATGCATATACTTGGCTTTTGGTGTCTTCTCTCTACAGCCAAACAGGGAAGAAAGGAAACAGACTCCACAGCGATCCACAGCCTCCTGCAGAAGTAAACAGATTTGAAAATTGGATTACCATGAGAAAAAAATTAATCTAACAGTACAGTAAATAGCTAGAAGAAAAACTATTATTTTACTTTCTAATTTACTATTTCATTATCACATTGGACCTAGAAAGAGTAGTACAGAAATTCTTTCGTGGTGTCATCTTTTCTATACTATGATAGCAATGACATTTAAAAACTTTAAGAAAAAAAGTATTCTGCATTATTGTAATATCTAAGGTCACCAACAGCTTTTATACATAAAATATGGTAGTTTCAGTAAACACAGGTATAATAGGCACCATCAAATGATGTTACTACTGAAGAATAAAAGCCTGGTCTAGAAAAAGCAGTCAAATTCCCAGAATCTCAAAATGCTTCTTAAGGACTGAATTGTTTATCTGAAGGCAGCCAGCCAGCCAAAAGTGGCAGAATTTAACTTGCTGCCACTGTGAAACCTAAGTCCTACAGGTATTAGTAGTTTTTAAAACACACACAAATTATATCTTAAGTCTTCCTTCCTATTTTTCCTCTCCCAGTCCTAAATGCACATAACTATCTGGAGAAGAGAAACACCATTCCTCATGCTCAAGACTGGATCCCTCTCACGTCCAGACAGAGAACCTATCACCTGCAGGGCTGACACTGTAACGGAGATATATTATAATTCTGTGGTTTTCTTCATGCTCTGTTTTTCTATCAGTTGGTGAACTGAACCAAACATGATCCTTAAGCCCAACTTCCATTCTTCAGTGAACACCGAGCAATTCATTCTTGAATAGTCTCAAAAGGGTAAATGTAAATCTGAAATGAATACATCTATAAAATTTAGTGCTGAGAAATAAACCCTTGTAATTCTAGCAAGAACAAATGTACAACCAGCTAAAAGCAATAAGCCAACAGGCCTAAAGAAAAAGCTATTTTTTGAGATTCCCATAGATTTCCTTCATGTATTAATGACAGAAGGGCCAGACCAGACCAAGATTCACAATCACCTGAAAAGCAGAAGCTAAATCCTTCAGTCTCCTAAACATCTGATGTAGCAATAATGTACTTTCATTTGCATTTCTGTTTGTTTCATTTGTACGTGCTATAAATTACTGTTCTCAGACAATGATCTAAAACTCTAAACCATATTAATTTAACAAAGTACTGGATTAGACCCAGCATCAGCAATTCTGTTTCCAAGCAAATCAAGGCATTCCCAGTCCTGGCATGCTAACTTGTGACAACACAAAAAAGATTTGCTAATGTGCAAACTGAAGATAAGGTGAGAAAAGACTTAAAAGCAATCCTCTGGGTTTGCTTCAAAGTTCTTGTATACAGAGCTAAATTCTTAAGTGTCAACAAGGAGAAAAATATAAAACCAAAAGCCTTTCCTTTTAATATCCTAGTTACAGAAACCTAATTTAAGCACTCTTAAGCTTAAGATAAGGTAACAGACACTTATAGATCATTAAAAGACAAAACTGAATTAATCTGCATGCACTCAAATGATGACAGCAAAATACTAGTCTCCAACCTGAGGCGGCTGGGGTATGGTGAGGCGATATTCTCCTTGTTTTTCTCGATTGAACACAACCTTCCAAAGGATCATATCAAGGAGGACATTCTGTGAGACATTGCAGTGAGCGGGAAGAATTAAAGAAACTAATGATCATTTGTTAGTGTGCACATTACAAATAAAACCTGAAATAGTGTGTTAGGCATAACTAAATCAGTGCCAGGCAAAATGGAGAGTTTACATTACTTGTCAGTACTTAAGTGATAAACATTTTCATTCTTAAAGTGCTCACATGGGATTTAAGAATATGAACATGTACTTTAAATCAACAGCAACAATGACCAAAACTGCATCCATCAATATAGGTAAAAAACATAAATAAACATTCCTCATGTGTTTCAATACTCAAAAAACCCTGTGAAGCACCACAGACATGGGTGCTTAAAGCCACTTCCCCTCAAACCATCTTTAACGTTATGGTGTACTTCATGCTGGAGCTATGCTTTGTTCATAGTTTGTTTTAAACCAGTGACATTCCCAGAAAAGCTTCAGTGGGGTGGCGAAGCAGCCATCAGCGGGAGGTCTGAAGGAATCCTGTAGGAGCAGTTCCAGATTTAGGAAAAGAGGGCAGAAGTTGAACAGTATGTTCAGTACATCTGGTTATTCTCATACGGCTGTGTGGGCGGACTGGAAAGCCCTGAACAAATCCGGCAACACAGGTGTGAACCTGCATCTTCCATGGCCTTGAGCCTACAGCTCTGCTCTTTGGACAGGTTCCATTTCTAACATCTAACTTCTGCTATGGAGAAAGGGGAACTGACTAGCCAGACTTTTGTAACTGATTTTATAATGCTTATGATTTTATGACATACCAAACTTTTATATTGCTTTTATAAAGCATTTGCCAACAAATCTTCAGCTTGTTAGACATTCATTTCTTGTAGCCAGTCTGGTTTAAGTATGTCTATACCAGGCAACAGGGGTAAGGAGGAACATCTGCTAGGATCTGCCTTTGTTATGCAATATTTTCTATCATCTGGTAGAAAGAATATGCATGCTTTGTTAACCTAGTCTGGCACCCACATGGAAGAAGCAGCTTTACACAGTATTTCAGAAAAGATGTTTGGGACAACCAGAGTCAGAAACAATTCCTGCTGCAAAAGCAATGAAGAAACTACATATGATTGTAGTGTGGCACAAAAGTGTCAAACTGGGGAGTGTGACAAAAGAAGATAGATCCAATCCGTTAAGTATCTCATCATGATGAGACACTTAAGAGGCAATTACTGAGGGATTATTCTCAGCAGAACAAATTCTAGGTGATATACATACAGAGTACCTTGCTAAAAGAAATAAGGAGATCCCACCAGCAGCTCTAACTAGATACTCAGAATATGACCTGTGCTACTCAGTAACTGTGTAGTGAGGAGAAAATCCAGCCAGGTACAGGAGGACAGAAAGGCAACGAGCTATACTGGAAGTGAAGTAATAAGATAGCCTGTGACTGGGCATAATGAGATGGCACCACATGAAAAAACTTCAGGAAGTCTAAAGTAATACTGCTGGAGTTGGACAAATACAGTTCAAAAGATGGAACAAAAAAAGGTTGAAGTTACAGAAGGTGAAGCGTGATCATAAAACAAAGTTTGGGATTTGAGGATCACTAGACAATCCTTCTGTTGGACATCTGCTGTACAGGAAGACAACTCTCTGTCTAAACAAAGCATTCAACTAACAGTGAAAGTGGAAGAAACGGATTTTTAAGCCAAGTAGAACATCCCAAACAATGTCAAGGAAACTAAATTGTATAGGTACTTATATTCCACTACTAAAGTATGGGCAACAAGATAAAATAGGAAAGTCTGTTTAAAAGGAATGTGACACATCATCCTACCAGTTTTGGTAATGACAGTTAATTGACTAAAGTGTTGGAAGATGCTAACTCAAACCTGCATAGAAAAAAGAGTGGGTGGGGGTTGAAATACTGGGTGAAAGCAAACACTCTACAGTAATAACGTTGCATAGGTTATGCTTAGTGGAAATTCAGAGTTTACAGATTGATGTGGCAACCAACAACACCCAGGAGTGAAATGTTATGAACATTTAAGCCAGAGGAAAACCATCTGTCCTTGAGAGGCACTTGCCGATACATGGATTGACACACTGTACAGACTTTCTACGGGAGCCCTTACACTTCCAGAACAGAAACATGACCAGACTGTATAAGAGAAAGATCACCTGCAGAACAAAGTAATTTTTCAGCAGAAGGTAAGTTTATTTCTCTCAGTAACGTTTACCACTGGACTGAAAAATTGTAACCACCACCTATTTACACTCCATGTATCAACACAAAGCTCAATTCCAAGGCATAATTTTAGTGCTTAAAAAAAGCTGAATTAGAGACATTAATAAAATCAGCAAAACTGACTAGAGAAAGTAAACAGGAAAAAATTTTTCTATCTAGATTTGTTTTATATTTATCAGAAGTCAAAAAAGTCACGATTCTGCATCATCAGAACGTTTTGTTTCAGTAGCAAAGACAGCAATATACATAAAATTTATCCTTTAATAAAAGTAGGCAAAAAAGAAAGCTATTAAGAGTTTAGTAGTACAAAAAAATTAAAGAATTAAAGGGCATCAAAGAAAACATCACAAGCAGGGTTAGAGTAAATATAGGACAATGTAAAAAAGGCTCAGGATCTTTAGGAGAGAATAAACTTGTTAAAAACAAGGCAAAGGCCACAAAATTAGTATCTACTGCTATGTTTTGGAAAAGTCAAGTTATTGCCTATCATATGAAAACACTGAAAAACACGTTCCAATACGCAGCAACGTAATAGCATATATTGCAAATTCTATTTGGAACATTTCGAATGCAAAGCCTTGATAATTTTGATTAAAGTATCCAAAAAAACCCAAAGCTTTGGTTGATTATTTTTACTAAGTCACTTTTTACTAAGGGAAAAAAACTCGTCAACTGGAAAGAGTATTAATGCTGTAGTAATCTTCAAAGGCCAAAACAGTATGATCCAAGCAAACATTATTCTGGTTACTTTGATAGCAATCCCTTACATAGTAATGGAAATGCTGACTAGAAGCTGCAGAAAATGTTATACACTAAAAACAGATAATTGTAGTGTGCAAGTGCCACATAATGTTGAAAGGCTTTTTCATCTTGCAGAAAAAGAAGAGTGACTAATGGCTGCAACCAAAACACAAATGTATTCAGGTTGGAAATAAGGCATCAATTTAACAGGGAGAAGAACTAACCACAGGAATAAATGACTGACTTCGAATCCAGACTCCTTCTGGAAGATGTGTCTGTCAAACTTCGATTCTTGGAAACAACATAGGGGTACCTGGATGAAAGGTAGGGCATGTTTCTGCCTGCATTAACTCTGGAATTACAGCAGAAGAGGTCAATATCCAGAGTGACTGACTTTGGACAAGCTCAGGGCTGGAAAAAAAAGATCTGCATGAACATCTCTACTTCTGGACTTGGATCAGATTAGATGAACAAGTTATATAGACCTGAATTATTCTGAACAATAAGCTAGGTGTATGATCCAGCTGAATGAAGATGGGCTCCTCCAAGGATTTTTTATAGTTCTTTACTATGTTATTCTGAACTAATGCAGCAAATAAATATAGAGTATTGTCTCATGAAACATTTGAAATAATTTGTAAGTCTTTCAACTTCCCCCCCTCTTCTCAATTAATAAAAAAAGGCTTTAAATTAGGCTTTTAAACATAGAAAACCTTGACACCTTAAATCTAGCCTACAAGGACATTTTTAGGAATACAGACTTAACAAGGAAACAGTGGCCACTTACACTGGCATGCCGTGAAGAGACCTTCTAAACAAAAGATAAACGTGTACCCTGAAAAAAAAACCACCACTGAACAGACAAGTATTTTTTCCATTTGAATGTCTTACCTCTGTCAGCACAGATACAATTGCATTGAGAATAACAATGATGAGAATTCTTAGGCGCCACTCATATGGCACACACACGAGCTGTGAGAAAAAGTTGCCAGAGGTTAGCAACACACATATGAAGTAAACACATATTCAAAACCAGTTCAGTTACAAATTCTGCCCCGTCCCGTCCCCCTGTCCCCCCACCAAGATGCAAAAGTAAAGCTCTAAAGGGCTCAATCTTGCCCAAAAAGCAGCCAATCAGTTATCCTAGGAAGTACAGATGCCTGCACATCCGTTGAATCTTACCTCAAGAAATGTGTCAATAGATTCAACAGGATGCAACATGATGAAAAATATGAAGATATAAAGAACTATCACAGATATAACAAATAGAACTGTAAAAGAAGAAAACCACATTTTAATTGGACCATCTCACAACCAGAATTTTAGACAGTTTTTTCCATGTATCGTGGGTTCGTTACTCCCTGGAAATAACCTCTTTTCTCCCTCTAAACCCCTTCCAGGCAGATTTTGGCAATATAAGTTGTGCCGATAGCCATAAAGACACAGAAGGCCAGACTCAGTTTCTCCCTGGCTCACTTGTGGAGCTGAAACATATATAACACACATACTTCTACAAATAAAGCAACTATTGACACAGATTTCTCCATACAGTTTAATACTTCCCTATTTCTATCTGTGATTATCAGAGGATAATTGTGCTATGTTCTTCTAGCAACACTTTTACTGCTGAAGTGGCACAAGAGAACTGTCAAGCAAGCCACGGACAAACAAGTGCAGAGTCACTTGGAGTTTTACTTGGAACCAGACATAGTAAGAAAGGACTTACAATTCTTGTAGCATGGTTGTCTGAAAGGCTTTCCTTTAGAAAAGACAATTGCCACTATGAGGTACTGAAAACTGGATATAAAAAACAAAGTTGTGTTTTCATAATTTTTAATGTAATGTTCATCATGAAGAGTCTCATTCCCATGATGTGCAGAGCTGGTGTTTGTGGCATCCAATAAATTACATGCACTACAACATAAAAAACATTTAGCACTGAGTTTAGGAGATAACGCAAACAAGTACTACTTATTAACAAAAGTAATGACAGAATAAACTGCTACAGTATTAAAAAAAGCCTATTCTTGAAAAACTATTACAGGTAGTAAGAAATAACTCAAAACTGCAGCAAGGAAATAGCAATTTTTGTGAATTCTGAGCTTCGAGCTCTTTTATGTTTCCAGCTTGTAAGTTCACTGCATGAACTGTTTAGAAACTATCACTGTAGATACACTTTGAAGACAGGTAAGAAAATACTGCAATAAAGATTAAAACACCTGTTCATTTTCAGAAATATTAATTTGATTTACTGGAACTCTAACAGTTTTACTTTATAATATAGAAAAGTTAAAATAGGTCTGAACCATTAATTTCACATTTTGATCCCAACTGTCTCCAACCTGAGGAGTCTTCAAGACCCTGCAGTTTGGCTCTGACCCAGTTTTGCCTTTCAGCCATTGGGTAACTCCTATGTATCAGTATGCTTTTCACAAAATAATTCAGCAGACTAACAAGCTGCCATACAGAAGCTTTATTTACAAAGTTCCCAAAGGGGGTCAATAAACAAGAGAGCAATTATTGCCTATAGCTTTCCAGTCATTACTGTAACCTGCATGAAACACTTACTCAGATTCCATTGTCCAAGGCTCATACCAGGACTGCTGTTTGACCCAAAAAAACCCAAAGGTTTGGAAAGCAAGGCAGATGATGATCTGAGACAAAACGGAACACAAAAGTGGACCTGAGATAAGACCCGATGGAGGCCTTCGCGCAACAAGTTCCTTCCAAGCAGGGTTCAGACTCACTGCAGTGAGAAAGAAAAACAAATTATACATTACATCATATGGTTTTCAAGAGTTACCCTGTTCACATTCTGTGGAATTGGAACGGCTTGCTGATGACACCACTTTAAAAATTAGTCTAGAACTGCAAGTGTTGAACTACCCTGAAAAGATTATACTGCACTAGAATAATGCCACAGTGCCTTCTACAGGCTGGTTACCCCCAGCAGCACAGGACAGCAGGGGACAATAATAGAAGCCATGAGACCCAAGGAATTCATAGTGTCTGGCCAAATTCCCTTTGTCTGGCACAAGGACGTACAGCTCATCTCCTCAGTTTTCGTCTGCCATTGCTCCAAAGAAGCAGTTTTATTAAACTTGAAAATGGAATTCTACTGTTAGCCAGTAAACTGAGTGCTAGGTTCACAGGTGGAATCAAACACTTCATGAGGTAACAGGCTTCAAATATAACGTTTTCTGGACACAAATTCAACTAAAAATGCAAGAACTCAAAACATTTGAGAAAGATAATATTGGAACACTCCCATTTTGAGTCCAAAACCAGTGTCATCACATCAGTAGAGATTTAGGAGTTTCTGTACTGTGAAGAACTAAAATCATGCCCACAGCCTGCTTGCTTTCTGTATGAGAACATTTCACAAACTTCAGATGAATCTAACTCTGTATACAGTGGCATGGGTTTTTTTAATGCATATACTGTAGCAGACATAACATCTTAACTGTATGTCACAGTGTTTACTCCAAACAGCATGCAACTAAAGAAAATCTAACCAAGCAAAAACTACTTGAGAGGCCAGCAGCACTAATCCAGCACAATACTTACTAGTGAAGACAACCACCAAAATGATTGCCAAATCAATGAAGAGAAACTGGAAGTCTCCCAAATTGCTCAGGATCTAGACAGAAATCACAACTGAAACATTGGTAATTTCTTCACACCAAGAAACGTCTTACAGTAACACTCCTATGGCATTAATTCTTTATTTTCACTCTAAACAAGACAGTCTCGGGTCAAACTGGCTTTCTTTATCTGCAGGAGTCTTGAGTACTCTACAATTCACAGATCAATTCATGAAGTATCAAGGTATGAAACAATTTCAGTTTCAAGATTTGTTTGTAATCAAGAGTATATTACTGAATCTTACAAACTAATGAAATAATAGCTTCGGCCCACAGTTCTTTAAACACTATATCAAGTCATACAGCTGTCAAAGCTTCTATCTCAAAGGTCCTTTAGTACTCTGCATGTTTAACTTAATCAGAATACAAATTAAAATACAGAATTTCTAACACATGCCATATTATGAATCTGATCATATTAGCAGGAAATAATCTGCTTCGCATTTTTCACCCTCCTAACTCAATACTTGCGAGTTGCTCTCTTTCAATCCTTACATAAAAGGAATGCATTGCCCTTTATTTAAAGTTAGGCTATTTTGAGATGCTGACCATTTTTAAGTAATCGGAAATTGTATTTTTGTTCAATTTATATGCTTATTTGGACTAAGAAAAGTCTCCCACTGTAGAGACCTTCTATTCACAGGCTTTAGTGACTGCCTTTTTAAAATAGGTGTGTTTTTTATATAGTTAAAAAAAGAGCAAAAAGTATAAGACTTCTATAGTCCAAAGACAGTTTTCAGAATGCAGGTGTTGTGTACTCAAGGACTTGCAGCAATTTATATTAAATATATACCAATTTTCAAATCTCTGAATTATGTTGACACTGCTTAAGCACTTACAGAATACTTACAGAATACAGTAGAGTAACACTGATGTACTGAATAATGCTGTATAATGCCATGAACTTAAATACACAGAAGGAAGTTATTAAAGCAGCACGGCCTTCCCTGTCAAAACAAATGCAATCATGTAACTAGAAAGCTTTCCATGCAAGCAGTTAAATCCTGCTTAGCAAAATGTTAGCTGCAATTAAACACATCAGCAAACCCTTTGAGGGACATTAGGCTGAAGACATACAGAGAAAAAGGGGTCAGAATGGTACACTTTCAAGTACACTGAAGTTGTGAGCATGCCTCCTGAACTGAGCCACCACCTTACTTTGTTGTTCTTTGGACTTTATGTGGTTTTCCAGCAGAGGTTTTAAAATGAAGGTCTGCTTGCAAAAGCACTAGTTAACTACATGGATTGAATGAACAAGCAGTCAGCCACCAGAGTTGCTGACTTCAGAAATTTTTCTGATTATGCATTACTTCAGTAGTTCCACGCAGACTTAACTAGATTTTCTCTGGCTGACCTTTATCCAAAATTATTACCTAGCTTCCAACTCCAGAAATTGGTCAAACCCTATTTAGAAAATTTGTTTTCTACTTTGTATAGTGCTGAGCAATTATATGATGAATTTTACTGTTTGCAGTTACACACCACTTTTATGGAAACTAGCATAATCACTAAGACACCAAATTAAATACTGTGTAAAAGCTCACTCACCCTCTGAAAAATTAACTTCACATGGACAAAAGGGTTTTTAACAAAATATTAAATCATGCTATGCAAGCCTTTGCTCAGAGTATACCTTCAGTAAAGAAACCAAACTACTAAAAATGTATGGCTTGTTCTTTAATTCAAACTGGCCTCCTACAGCATATACTAATATGGGGTATGCAAAGAGTTACACAGATGAATTTAAGTTCACAGTAAGTGGCATTACCTGATCAGCTTTGGCACGCAGGAAATACTAGGTGTCCTGGAAGTGAATGGTGATGCCACAGAAGCCTCAAGTTCAGACAAAGATATACCACCATGTGCCCTCTTTAGCGCCTGTCAGTTGACATTGAAACAGAAAACATTTTAAAACTTGCTTTCAGATGTAAAATTTAACTGAACAGTTCTGTATAAAAAATTAAAATACACTTACGCCACAGTCATTTGCTCCATCTCCACACATGCCCACATAGTAACTATAAAAACCAAACAGATGTCAGCATTCTGGACCATTCCCTAATCACAGTTCATTTAGCTTATTTCATTAAATACTTCTGTATTACTTGACTTATTCAGGGTTTGCAAAATAACGAGTGATCGTTAATGCTGAAAGCAATTACTGCTGCCATTACACATATAAGGAGGTAGACAGAGAAGTAACATGACTTAGCCAGGTCAATCAAACCAATAATGGTTATCAGTCCTCTATCATTCCAAGATGGTGTAAAGCATTTTTGTTCTAGACAGAGACTTGTGTAGTATTTTGTATAGCTGTAACACCAACAGACAGTAGTATACTGACCGTAAGTGAACAGAGTGTATCCTGTTAATACTTCTTTAATACACAGAAAACATTTGATGATTTAAGCCAAGCAACTAGATTTATAAAATACATTAGTCAGTTTAGTTATTGGTAATTTATAACTTCATTAAAGTCTGAAACTTTCACAACTAGCCAGCAGATGGTACTACTCTCATTCCTGCTCAGCTAATAGGCTGATTAGCCAACTTAAGGAAATTATATTAGCCCAGCCTTTTTCACCTGGCAAAACAGCTAGCACCATACACAATTTCTTCCTCCTATCACACCAAACACTGTTGACCCTCCCACTTTCTGTGCTTAAGCAAATACTTACTCTACATTTTGTAAAGCTTCCACCAACTGAGTTTTCTGATCAGGCGCCATGCGAGCAAACACAGTGCCATGTAACACAAGCTGGAAGACAGGACAGAAGATTTCTTAACGCTCACGGGGAAAAGTCTGTTCACCATTAAAAGTGTTCATACTCAAGTAAAACGCTCACCTTGGGTACCAGATCCTGAAAATGCTCCAAAATCACCGCAAATGACTTTCCATTCATTGCAAAATGGTATTTGGTCATCTGGAGATCCTCAAGGCTTTCATGGACCAATTTAACTGGAATATCCTATCAAAAATAGTTTAATGCTCTAGCTATAGTGTATTTACACAGATGCCTTGTAATTTCAAGCTAATGCCCACAGGGCTATTCCTAGAGATTCCCCAGCAGAAGAGGTTTCTGAGAATGTTACTTAAAAAACCCCTTCATACAATGAAAATACTTACTAGTAAGAAAATGTGGTTTAATGTTTCAACTACAAACAGCTAGAGCTGTCTAAATATAATGAAATGTGAAAAAACCCATCCTGCACAACTACCATGTCAAATGTTGTATCAGCTGAAAAACTAGCTTCCCCAGCTGTTTTATTGTTGTTTGATATTTTAAGATCTGAAAGTTAACTAGCACATCAATTTTGATTTGATACTTAATAGCAGATTTGCTTTTTAACAGAGTAAGACAAAAATAAAGAAACCCAACAGTAAAATTAACTGCTTACACTCTAAGGGCATAATAATGTCCATATTACCTCTGAGTTTATGGCTGGTGATGAACTAGTGCATTTTGCGAGGGTATCTGCATAATGCCAGTTGATCCTGGCAGCCTGCCCATCCTTTGGAGGTAGTGCTTCAGCAATAATGACCTTATCCTGAGGTAGAATCATTCCACAATCTCTGGCCACAGAGATAGCAGTTAACATGTTATCCCCTGTTAAACAATTGCATTTAAAAAGGTTTCAGTTAGAAAAGTATCAATAGCATATACTGATATTCCACGTAAGAGAAAAAGCTAAGAAAGCCAGTTTTAAACTAGGAGGAGGACTGCCTAATGTACCAGTGATAACCTTAGGGCAAATCAATCCTAAAGACAAAATTCAAAGCCTAGCCTGTTAAGTCCCTCCCCTGCACTAACATCACCAAGAACTTTGTATGCTTCTTTCAGCTGTAAAGATCCCTTATGGACCAAATCTTATTGAAAGTCAAGCAGAAAACATGCAGCCATTTAAAATAACACTTTTTAAATTCGGTCACAGAACATGCACTGAGTTGCACTGAGTTGCATTGCTAGCCTATCCATGTTATTCCAAAGTTGCATTTGGAATCACCAAATACCTGTGATTTAAAAAGCATACACATATTGCAAGGAAAACACCGAGCACAGATACCTAGCCTGCTTAAGGGGACATAAGTCATTCTTACAAAAATTCAACCTCCAAAGTGACTTCTCATAATATAAATCAAAATTGTAGGGACCCTCAGGAGGTTATCCTGCTCAAAGCAGGGTCAGCCGTAAGATTAGACGAGGACTTTCAACCTAGGCTGATCTGGAAGACCTCTAAGGTTTTTCATCCTTTGATTCAGTATAAATTAACTTGTGCATGGAGCCAAGAAGAGGAAGCTATGAAGTAGAAATAATCCCTATACTAGCTTCTGATCTCTGACTTACCAAAGCAACTTTCACTCAAAAAGAAAGACCAGTGTCTGAATATTCTCACAACAGTTTCCAAACTTCCTTCTTGCTATAATTACAGTGTAATGCCAGCCTACTGACATTAAAATTTGACTTCATACACTATAAGACCAAAGAGACAGATTTTTCTCTTTTGAGTATGAATGTTTATATGCTAACCTGTAACCATGACAGTGCGAATGTTGGCTTTATGCAAATCTTCAAGTACAGCAGGGGTTTCTTGCTTTAGCTTGTTTTGCATTATAATTAACCCCATAAAATCCATGTTGCTTTCAATAGCATCTCTGTAGAAAAGGAGGCAAGGAAGAGAACATTACAATAATTACAATTATTAGATGTAGCTTAAAGAGCCTGGTTTTCTGTTTATCAAAGAGAAATGTTTATTTTTAACCATGAAAATCTGCTTTATAAAGTGACCTGATAATCATTCACATTTATATTTATTTCCCTTGATTTAATTGAAAAACAGTATGAGAAACCTTGTTTCCTCAAGCACAATTTTTAGTTTGTTCCAGAAGAAGTCTTTCTAAAATAAATTACATTCTCAAAAAGGTTATTGCTAGAAAAAGTGCTCCAAAGCTAAATGCATTCACAGTCAGAATTTAAGATTTCTTTAGAATGCACATCTATCTCTAATTTCCAAATCAGATGAACCTTAACATACAAGCTACCAAATTATGTTATCAAGGCTAGTAAGATTAATAGACATTAGCTAATTAAGTGAAGCAACTAATTAACTTTGGTTAACATGCAAGTCAGTTATGTTTACAGGTCTTGGGGTGTTTTACTGCTACTGCAGATTTTCACACCTTAAATTGGAAGACCCATTTTATTGCTTTGTACTACTTTTACAAAAAGTTCATCTCATACACAGAACTGACAGAACAGAGTCAAAGTTGTCATTTTCATAGTGATACTACACTTCCAAACACTACGGAAAAGGTAGAATTATCCACAAAACTAGAACCACTTAAAAAATAATTAACAGGAAATACTACTCTTTGAAGGAAGAAACCTTTCAACCTTCCAAATCTTTCTGATAAGCCTTGCAATGAAAAAATGGACTCACTACCTACAGCAGATCAAGAAACTAAATCAAACATGCACAGGAGGGTTTCCACTACATGCCATCATCTTTAATAGACACAGATAATAAGTATGTTCAGGTAACAGGAACCAGATGAAGTTTTTCTGCCACGTTAGCACCACAAAAAATTAGTATTACAGTTCATCTCAAGCTTAGAAATGCACAGAACTACATATGACAAGACAGAAGAAAGCTAAAGAGTGGCAATCAGTTTAAACAAAAGTAAACATTATATAATTAATCCAAAGCATGCAGCTTCTAAAGCCTGTTACTCATTAAAAAAGTGAAGTCACTCTTACCTATTAATAGTCTGGACTTTGTGCCATGTAAGCTTAGACTCCAATTTTCTGTGAGCAAGAGCAATAACTCGGAAGCCCTGCTTAGTATATTCTTCCAAGACACACTCAAAGTCAACAGGAACTTTAAAAAAGTCAAGTTTAGAGTTATTAATATTATCCATATTACCGCTGAGCTACACAAGAAATAAAAATAGTTTGTTCCTTTACCTGTTTCCTGCTTACACAAGCTGGCAATCACTTCAGGAGCACCTTTCATATAAGCATCCATTCTCTTCTCCCCTAGAACTCTTGCTATTACACACATACGCTGCAAAACTGAAGAAAATGGAAACTGGCGCACAATTCCAATCTCATAACTGGTCTGTGTCATAGAGGGGGGAAGGAAGGAAACAGTTACATCCACATACATTATAGAAAAAATGGACATGATTAATTGAAAAAAACATACTTACCGAAAGCTCAAACAATTCCTAAAAAAGAAAAAATACATTTACTGTAAATATTAAATTTTAAGGTTTTTTCAGCTACAGCACTCTCAATATAAAGTTACATTGTATTTGCAATGGATTTCATAAAAGTTGAATATGAATATACTGTGTCTCTTTAGTATCCTTTACTTTAAGTGAGGCAGAACTTTAGAGCTTGAATTCTTGATTAGGGTTTGCAAGACTTTTACCTTTCACAGTCCAACCTGTGTCTGTTTAGCCTACGTAAATGATGAAAGTACTATGGTATTTTAGAATGAGGTCATGATTAAGTATATCCCCCCAAAAATAATGTAATAATTTTCAAAAATGCTCACGTCAACAAGCGCACAGTAATTACTGTTATGCATGTACACCGAGTTCTGAACAAAAAAAGATGCTTCCATCTGCTAAGACTCATACAGAGGAATCAACCTGCTATACCCTCCCACTACCCTGCTCTGCGATAATCTGAATATAGTCACATGCTTAAATTTCCCCTCTGAAGTATTAAAAAATACTTCAAAATACAGGTAGAAGAAAATTTTAAATCTGCAAAGTACATTTTATTTTTAACTCAGCACTTAAAGCATACAACTCTAAGGTACAATGGTGGCAAAAATACTGTGCCCTGCTGTGACATTAACAAATAATTGTTTTAACTGAAACTGCAAGGTGAGCACACCTAACCACTTCATTAGCACAGTAAGAATTTGGTAATGATATCAATAGCATCACAGCACTTTATAACCAGTAATAAAGCTGACAACCAGTCCGCTCACCCTGAAAGTGGCATATACTGAACCACTATCTTCAACAACAGTATAAACATGTCTTCTCTACCTTTGCCATCAAAAACCACACAGTTTTGATCCAGTTTCAATTATACCAGCCAGAACCACACTGCAATTTGTAAAATGCATTTGTTTAACACAATTGATTTGAATTTTTATACCATTTCTTGATTTGTTGCTTGCTTGGATTCTGGGAAAAGTTGTTTTGAAGGTCGAACCACTGTTGGCATGATTCGATTATGAAGGGCTGTTTCCTCTTCAGTTGCTTCTTCTAAAATCTGTATTAAAAATAATCAACTAATTTATACATTCATTAACTTTGATTTTCTCATAATGTAATTTTCAGAAAAAAAACGGGCTTGGAAGTCAGCCCAAGGTGAAATGATCTTTCTAAACAAGATTTCCGGTGAGAACTAAGTGTCTTAATTTAGCAGTTAAGATCCACTTAGCTATTTCACATGTTTATTGTATGCATCGAAACTTGGCCACACACACCAGAAAGGAGTAAATTAGCTCTTCAGATTCTCTCAGTTCTATGAATTGTCGCGCAGGTATTAAAACTTCCTTTGACACACAAGCATTGTCAAAAGCCCACTGCTTCAGTTACAGCTTGAAACAGCATATAATGGCTTATCTTGTAACAGCATCGGAAATTTCAGATTACTAATGTTAAAAATGTTGCTTCTCTTGAAACAAGCAGACACTTACCCATCCTATTGCTTCAAACATCTTCAAGTCAAGCGGATCCCCAGAAAGTACCCCCTCAATTTTTGTAAGGGAATGACAAGTTGCCATGCAAGCAACAAACTCAGACTTCAGCAAGTTCTCACTGCAAGCCCTCTCTTCCGGCAAAAGGAAACTAAAACAATGAAGTAATAATATACTTAGCACTATAATTATTTATTATGAGCCAATTCAAAAGGTTTGTTTAGATTAACAGAAGAAAATTGACTGCATAAGTCTCTTCACTTCTATTTTTGCACACCACAGAAAACAGATTAAAGCTCTGGGCTGGAATCTTCAGAAACAGCCACAAATTCTGTCTCCTTCAAAAGCTTTGTTAATTCACCATCTAGTTTGATTCCTCATACAGAGGTGTGTTACCACTGTCATTAGCTAACCTAATTCATTTTAGCAGCCCAAAAAGTCATCACTTAGGAGGACAGGATTAAGGAAACATGCTACATTTTAACTGCATCTTTTCTGCAGTATGAACCTAAAAAGGTCTTACAATTCAACACATTAAATTCCACCTCAGCCTCCTAAATCAGCTATACCATTCCTTATACCTAAACCATATTTTGAGTTGCATTCTTACAGCTCATTACAGAAATGCAAACACATATGAGCTCACATTGAATTTTCTATTCTATTCTGCTGGAGCTGTTAAGGCACAACTAAGTATCATATTTGCTATCAGTTCTGAGCTTATCCTTACCACGCATTTTCCACCCGTTGAATTCCCCACAGATCCAAGCCATCCTCAGTAAGTGTGCCAGTCTGAAAAAAAGCAACAAGGGAAATGGCAAGAAAAAGCCTTCAGAAGCAAGTTATCCTCAGGTAAAGTAAAAATTAACAGCTAATTAACCAAATCACCCCTGAACAATACATTTTATCTTGTTTTCACTTAAAAATCTATACTTCAGCACAGGAAATACAATATCTCCATTGCTTTTTGCTAGTAACTAAGTTTCAGCTCTGTTAAATAACTTAAAAAAACATCCAAAGCAATCACGTCCCTCCTTGGAGACAGAGCAAATGAAACAGACCCTTAAAATTCAAATATGATAGCTCAACATCTCTATATTCAGGGGTTGGAGGCAACAGAAAATAGGTACTAAATCCTTAGTACTACTCTCTTACATGCTAAAACAGTAACTGGAATACATTTACAAAGGAAAGAATAAATTTCGTGTGGATACTTAAGATCTTAAATAAAAATCTAAGGAAGAATATAAATTTTAGCTAAGAATTAGCTAAAAGAAAAGGATTCTGGCCACCAGCATTACTGTCTTCCACTCAAGTTTCTGTTAAGAAATAAAAACAGAATATGCTGGTTTGGCTTTTCATTGAAATATATGGAAGTGAGAAACAAGTCTGACTACACACCTCAATTTTCCAGAAGCCTGTGTACTAAATAAAACTCTTAATAGACCCCAACTCTCACATTTCTGAGGTGCCAGTAGTAAGTTAGGACTTGGGAATCTCAAGATAAGAAAGCAGCTCTGCATTATAACAGCTTTTTAGAACCGACTAAATCAAGTGAGTTAACAGGTGATAAACACTGAATACCTGGAAGCTAACAGGACAAAAATTATCTAACAAACTAGAGTAATGAAATTTTCCTATAGTTGCTATTCTATACAAATTCCCACATATAACAGTGCCTCTCCAGGTGGCAACATAAAGTTTCAAAATTCACCTAACCTTATCAAAACACACAAGATTCAGCTGGCCACAAATATTTATCCTTTGTGGGCTGATGCAGAAAATGCCAATTTTTTTCAACCTTCTTTGTGCATAAACAATGCCAGCAGTCATGGCAGCAGGGAGCGCTGGAGGCACGGTGATAGTGATAATGTCAAGAGACTCTATGATGATGGTATGAGCTGGAACCTGCAATAAAGGTCAGAGTTAATGATCAAGAACTCACCACTTAAAGATTCACTACCCCACTGAAATGTTACATCATTGTTACCAAAGGCAAATCCACACATTGCTTTCCCCAGTAGAGCATGTTCTGGATTGCCCAGAAACCTAGCACAATCTTCACCCACCATCAGCAACCATGATAATCCAGTCTTAAATCATCCACAACCTGTAACTTCAAGTTTTCACTTCTTCCCTTGCAAATATATTACTTTAGAACAGTAACTGAATAATGCAAAATTTTGGGAAAAAAAATTAGTTATCAGTGACCAATTTCCTGCTAAGGATTTTTTTTTGCCTGCAGCATACTTTAGATGTGCTATATTCTGTTTCTTCCAAATGTTTATCAGTTAGATGGTAATCTTACATATAATAGAAATAAAATTCCAGTAATTGGGTCAATAGAAATTGAGGTAAACTCAAACTTCACTGTAATATATCCAAATTCTGCTTCTCTGCTGAATTTTGTTCTCAGCTTGTCTCTCTCATTCCATTGATACAAAATAAAGCAAACCAATTTTCACTTAAAAAAAATCAAATTACTTCTCACCATCTGAAGTATGTCAGAAATCATGATCAACTCTTTTCTAAAATAAGATGTTTCTGGACCAGAAATTAAATCATACCTCATTTAAGATGCTATTGACAACCGTGTAAAGAAATCCAATGCCTGCCACCACCACCAGAGACAGAAGAAACAAATAGGCATCTCTGTAGAGTTTAAAATCAGTTGGCTTTGGATAGAGTATGGAACGAACAAGCTGTCCTTTAGCAGTACTAAAGCCTAGAAAATAGTAGTAAGTTATTATTAAAAGTACAAACAAGAGCAAAGCTATTCAAATATATTAAAAACCTCAATGAAACCCTTAAGCTACTCATTTCATTAAGAGTGTTTCTCAATATACAGTAACAGATGTTTTGCAATACTATAATTAAGGTGCTTCAAAATTGTACATGCACATTATACTAAGTACTTTTATGGCAAGGACATGCAGCTGATGCAAATGAACCCCTCTTCCACAGCAGCAGTAAACCCTCAAATGGTTTGGATTGGAAAAGAGTTTGTTGTACTGCATTTTGTCCCTCAGAGTGCAGAGCTAGTGGGTATATTTATTAGTTCTCTAATTAAGCCAGGCCTTGCAAAAAGAAAATAACTTATTCATAGAGTCCCAAGTGTAAGCACTTAAATGGAAAGTCTCTGTAAGCTTGACAGCCAGAAAGAAAGATTCAGAAACAACTGCAGTACAGAATCATCTACCTTTTGGTGAAACCCATCCCTTGATCTCATTTTGCCACCTAAACTAGGACACTAGACTTCTAAGGGTCTCAAGTCAGCCAATAGATAACTTGAGATCTGCCTTGAAACTTCGCTTCAACATGTGAAGAGGCCAACACCAGTGCTCAATTTTGTATGTCCAAAACATTTTTTACCTGCTTAGACTTCAAATTCTGCTACTACAACCTCATTATCAATGTTAGGTCTGCTGGTATTAGGGACAGCTGCTTGGCAGCTTTCTCGGTCTGCAAGCCATCACAGCAAAGACTAAGCCCTCCACACTGGTATCTGGCATACATGGTTCTGTCAGAACAAAGCAGCTATTGCATCAGTCTTGAAGAGGAGTAGTTCATCGAAGAATGAGGCGTGAAGCCTCCAGGCTTTGAATGTGCTACTGCAAAATACAAACCATGGGCCTGTTTAGAGAAGTTCAGCATGTCAGTATGTACTCGAGTATTTAGTCATGAATGCGCTGTAATTTGCAACAGCAGTCAAAAAGAAAAAAAAAAATCAGAACTACTTTTGATTTTTTTAATGGTTTTGCAGAATGTTCTGTAGCTGCACAGGCTAGAACACACTAGGGTAAAACAATAAATGAAAACCTCATGTGATGTCTTAAGAACACACTGGACACACAGGTAGCTTCAGTGAACCTTTCTATTCTCTAAAAAAATTACCAGTTTTGAATTCTTTACAATTACAATAGGAACCACGACATACACACTAACATATCCATAAACTGAATTTCAGCAGGAAAAAAAATATATTTAGTTCATCAGTATTTTATGCATATTTCAGCTGTAACCTCAAATATTTCATATTAAAGATTTAACTCTGAGGAGTATTGTGAGTACAGTCCCAGCAGACCAACCATACCCTGATTTATGACAAGATGAAGACTACATGTCTTTGCACACAACCATATGGAGTTCTGCTCTCCTAGAATTATTTTAAGGACTAAATTTGCTAGTATCTTCAATTTTGTGGCACCCCCTCCCTCAGATAAAGGGGTTTTTACTTTTATCTCACTAGATGAGAATTACTTTAGTTCTTACTATCAGACATCTTCGGAGCAAGAAGCTACAAGTGCTGTGACATCTATCCAGTTCTCTGGAGTGGGACATTACCTACTTGCCTAAAAGCCATCCCTGTAAACCAGACAGAACAGAGAGGATTTTATATTCCTTTACTCCTCTCTACATGTATTACAGTCATAGCAGGAAAAGTGTACTTGTCCATATGTAAAATCTGAACAAGGTCCACAGAGCTAAATTCATCTTGTTTACAACTTAGGAGCTAACTCTGACCTGTCATGTGCAAAGAGTAGGTAAAAAAATTACTTCAGATGTCAGGGCAGTAGGACTCTGTGTTGGAAGCAATTGCAATTCTCCTTGCAAGAGTTCCAAACCCTGGTTTCAGACTTCGGCAAAAAAAAGCATTACCCTTCTTGCAGAGTAGAAGAAATAAGTCTTCAGCAGTTCTTTTCTATTGCTGTTTTGGAACTCATATGTGTATATACACCTCAGGCTGGGCACATAAAACCTCTTATTTAAGAAACAACAGAATTGGAGATGGATATTGAAGGGGAGGTGTGTTCAAGAAAAGGAAAATATTCTTTGAAAAAATACTAATAAAAGCCTCTAGAAAGACATTAATGAATTTAATCAAAACCAGAACATTTACTGCGAAAACAGACTAAAAGAAGGTGAAGAGAAGAAACCAGAGAAGGAAGAGGTTTATTAGGATGAAGTTACTTGTAGGAAGACTTGCTTTAAGTAGTATTCTAGTCAATGTAGTCAAATTTATTCTATCCAATTCTACTGGAGCTTGGATTATAGCTTACATTCATCTATTTGTGGTGATTTTCTTAAGACCATCCTTACAAAGCAGAATCCTGCAACTACTTTACTCTGTGCAATTGTTTTTAATAGAACATCTGTATTATCTAAAACCAAACTTAACATACTAGTATAAATAAGCACTTCCATAGAAAGAGCTAGATTGAACACATTTTTTAAGCAAATGTTATGTGCTCTGAGAAAACTATGGACAAAGAAAAACATTTGACATCGCCAGTGCCTCCACTAAAATAAGCCATTTCCCACTGCCCACGCAATCCAATAGTATGACAAACCTTTTCAAAGAGGCATATGTAGTTCAACCAAACCAACCATAAAAGACATCTAAAGGACTTGAAAATGCATTCCAGTAAGTTTTAAAATGATGATAAAGACTAATTCACTTTCTTTTTTGCCAACTGATACTCTCCAGGCCATCATCTGGTTCTATTACTGTAGTAAGACATTTATCAAATGAGTATGCCCCAAATAATTTATTCAAGCTTAGCAACATTCAACACAATACTCCAAAGTATCAGTTGACATACACCTACAAAAGCAAGTAGTCATTAACAAGTGATAACAATCAATACCTGTTCTCACTACTAGAGCTTTGACCAATTCTCCAGTATAAAAACGGGTTTGAATGACATTGGTTCCACAGAACAAAGTATGCCGTTTATGCACTTCTGGACTGTATATTTCATCTCCCATTGCTTTTGGATATTCTGAAGGATTTGGTAGATTTATCTTTGTGACAGGAACACTTTCACCTTAAAAGCAAAAAGGGTCTCTAAGCAAGATCAAGTAAGAACAGGCATTTTTCCTTCAAAACTTCAAGTAGAACAACATAATCTCACTTCATCAGCACAGAAGCAGACATGGAAGAAGTCACCTTCCTTTCACCATGTTATAAGGCAGTCTCTCACCTATTAGCCACAGTTCACCAGATTCCTTATCCAAATCTATTTAATTCTGTTTGTTATTCATCAATACAGACTTTATGCCTCTTACTTCAAATCAGATAGGTGTAAAACACAGTTCATTGAAAGAAAACAGAACAAGCTTCCTTCTCCTGCTTTAAGGCATCATCTACCTTTACTCAGAAAAACTAGAAGATGAAGAAAACTATCTTCAGTTCCTTTGGTGACTGAGTACACTGCAATCAATTTTTATCATTTACTAGCAACAGCAGAAAGCTTAAGTATATTCAAAGAATTGAACATGATAAAACACACAATTGTTGAACTACTATTTTCTAAATGCTGCCAGTTTAGACAGATTATCCTAGGAATAACAAAAAGTCCATCCTATTCACTGAAGCTATCCTTCAAATACATCAGGTCTCCAGTTTCAGAGTATACAGGCACAACGTGAAATAGTAATTTATGTTCTTAAATAAAGCAGCACATTCTACTCACTACCTTCATTCTTGGAAGCAGCTAAAAAGTTTGGGCAAAAAATTTCTGGAGAAACATACTGCAGAACTCAGTCTGCCCTGAGAACACCAAGTCAAGAGGCAGGAAGACAAACTATCAAGAAAACTTTTCAGCAAGAAACCATCACTCATTTTTAGAGTTGCCAAGCAGTACCAGTTAGCTGTTGCAGATACGTACTTGTGTTCCGCTTAAGTACTTAGGAGCATGTGTCATCGCAAAAACATACACATTTCAAGGAAAATAAACATATCCATTTCTGCTAGAACATACTGCAAGTTAAGCATGCACACAGGTATAAACTAATACGCTTAGCCACGCAAAACTGTGTCAAGTTTACTTTACCTGTTAACATACTTTCATTTACAATGCAAGTACCACTGAGAAGTACCGCATCACAGGGCATAATTGTCCCATTAGATGGAATCAACATGATATCTCCAGGCACAAGGTCGGTGGAAAGGATTTCTTCTATTTCTGAGTAGTAAAACACAAAATAGTTTACCTGAAAATAGCCATCATCTACAAAACCTGACAGAGATCCTCATGGCCAAGATTCAGGTGGTGACAATTCAGATATACTCTATTTCATTAATGGCATTATGAAGAGTTTTTGAAAAGATAAGGAAAAAGCCACTGATAAACCCAATTCCATCATAGATTAAACTCTAGACCATGTGGATATAGTTTATCATAATAAATGAAAGGAATAAAGCTTGTACAGAAGATATTAACAATTAACTACAGTATAGCTTCAGTACAAAGACACAAGTCCAACACAAATGTATGTCTCACAAAAGAGTATCTCACACCACAACCTAACCATCTTCAACTATTATGGTATCCAAATGACCAAAAGTCCAGAAATCAACTTGCAGCCCCTGCTGGGTAATAAACTGTAATGGAAATCCCATGCATGCATGTCTTTAAGCCAAGAAAGAAACTACAATGACAGTTATATATCTGGAGTTGTAGATAATGAGAAACAGGAATAGGACAAGCACCTCATCTAGAGCAAACCTGATACTCACTAAAAATATCATCTAGAAAGATAATCCTGAACAGATGATTATTCTGTCTAAATTCCACTTTGCAACTTCTCCTCTTCCCATGCTATTTCGCTAAGAAATGCAAGCATTTCAAGCTGATCAAAGAAAGAACAGATGAACACGACCTTTGCACTTCTACTTAATGAACAGTTTAAACTCAGCCTTCCAAACCACCTGTGAAATTTACCTTGGTTTCCTCTGCAGACAGAAACCCTGACAATGCTGTGAGCTGCTACCATGTCATGTAACATAACATATTGCTGCAAAGGGGAGAAAACAGTTTATTATTTAAAAGCACAGGTTGTTTTCTTCTAAACGTACATTCTATCTCTACAAGTAGAAGTGATGAGATTCTTTATTAACATTCTTTTACAACAGATGTTACTCGAAACATTCTCTTGAACATAGTTTAGGAAATCAACAGGAAAATAAAGTTTTAGTGCATCAGCCTCTACAGGTTCCTACTTCTAACAGCATTCTGGAAGCAAATTCACATTGCCATGCAAAATTTTTAAAAAACATGTAGTCATTAATACACATAAGTAAAAACTGCAGTAGTTGTGTGAATTTGGATTAATGTAAAATATTTTTTTTGTCTCTGGTCTGAATTCAGAGAATGCAGTTTAAGGATAATTACTACTTTAATTTCCATCAGCTATTATGAAGTCTCCAAAGAAAAATGCATCACCAATTTAACAATCCACACGTTTGGCTGGTGCTCAATTTTGTTAAACTTTGTTTCAAACAGTGCAAGATGAAATCACTAATGTCAACACAACTCGATACATAAACTTGTGCTCAGGTTTTATTTACGTGAGGTAGTGTTTCTTTTATCTGAGGTCAACCTACTGATTTCAACAGCATGGAAAATCTGCAGAGACGGGTCTCAAAGAGAACTGTAAATCCAAATTCTTGCAGCTCAAAAAGGGAAGACCCATAACAATATTCTACATGCATACCTCTGAAAAATTTTTGAAGATTTGTAGGCAATTTCACATCAAAATAAACTAATAAGTAAAAAGCTGAAAAGATGCATCTGTTTTCTTTGCACTTACCTTTCTAATGGTGTAGAGTGAGCTAACAATGGATATTACAGACATGATCACAATTGCTAATGCATAGTAGTGATACTCATCAGTGATCCACAATATCACACTGAACAACTGAAAAATGTAAAAAGGGTTGAGAACCTAGAAGAGTGACAGAACATTGAAGTTACACCAAAAGGTCACAAGCATTCTCCATCAGAAGAGAGTCAGAATCATCCTTCTCCTCCATGGAGGAGAAAACCCCTCAGTTCATTACATACAATGTTTTTGTCTCTTTTGACAATTTCACTACATACTCAGCCCATCAAAAACACAGTTCTCACTAATACAAGAATACATACTTTTAAGACTGCATTTTTCCCTACACCTCAAAGCAAAATGATAGGAACATCTGTTGCACCTTGTTACATTCTTGAATTAATATGGATGTTATTATCTATTGCTAATTAATAAATACACTGACACCTCAAGCTCTTACTCCATTAGTTTAGGTTGGAGAGTTCCTTTGTTCAAAAGTTTCTACCATGCATTATTATAGCACATGGATAAACAAGTCAATTATTCAAACCCACCTGATAAAAGGAAAATGGAACAAATCCAACAAAAAATGTATGCAAAATCACATTTGATGCATTGTGTATGCTGTAATATATAATCCCTGGGCTGATAATGGAGAACACTACTGGTCATTTTATGTTCGAAATTAACAATAAAAAATAAGATACATATCGCTTCAAAGAATTCTGACACATTTTCTAACATCCTTTTAAGGCACCAGGTTGTGAACTCTGAAGAGCTCATAGTTAAGGTCTCTTTAGATTGGAGAGCTCAAAAAATAAATGTCCATATCATTTTGCTTTATATTGCTGGGCTCTGGGGGAAGGTTTCTGTTTTACATGATTACTCACAGACCAATCCAACAGTCATTGTTCTTTAATTAGCTTTTAATTATATACTTTTTTAAAAAAATTTGCTGAAGAAAAGATCTTACCTCCTTAATCAGAAGCTTAAAAATGGAAGGCACTTTCACAGCAATTTCATTTACTCCATAGAATGCTTTTCTGCATTAAAAAAAAAATTAAGACAGTTAATTTTATTAGAAATCTTATTCACTTCAAAGTAATTCCATTAATATGAGAAAGTATAAAATATTACTTCATCTGTAGCTCCTTTTATTTATCATACTGATTCAAAAGGTGTTTATCAGGAAACATTTACCCAGTGAAGTGTTCCAATGCAAAGATAATAATTTTATATTTCAATTTAAACTGTAATTTAATTTTTGGGTTCTTTCAAAATTAGATTTTCCTGTAAACTGTGTAAAGGTCCAATGTTATTAAACATGTAATTCTGAAAGGCAATATGGGGTTGTCATTAAATTAAGCTCAAACAAGTGTTAACTCTTACTCTGCAGTAAGAGACTGTTTTTATGGTTCTGTATCTTAGCTTTATCCTTAGGATGGAGAAAGGCAAATTATGAAGGGGGAACAAGAAACTAACCTCTGATTGGATGTGAGCTGGTTAAATGACACTGACATGAAGAAGCCTTTAAAGGATGTTCTTCAAGAAAAAGCTTTTATTGTAGGAAAAGATACAAACTGACAGAAAGTGGGATGATGAGCAAGCAAATGCTTCCATATTTTACAACTCTAAGAAGGTCTCATTTGCAAAAAACAGCCAGGAATGCCACAGAAGCCAAACTATAATAAATAGGCACATCAATAATTAAGTACATATTGCAGCTTGCTGTTCACATTTGAGCACTAAGAAATCCCTGAACTACACACCATTAAAGTTACATTTTAAATGTTTTTTTCTAAACTAAGTTCTTCCTGTGCACTTGTGTCCCTTGACAGTTATATTTACACTAAAATGGCATGTTAGAGAACTAACTTTTTACCCCCCAGTTATTTTTTGCCAAATGGAATTAAAAGAAAAAGCAGGGAATGCCTTTGGCCCCAGCAAGCTATGGGACACACCTGTGACACTAACTAAGCTTTTAAAATTAAAGCCAAAGTCCTGAGACCTGGGAGGTTTCAGCCCGATCTTCCTAAAATAAGAAATGAGTTACAGTGCAGGCTAAGTTTGCTGCTTCCTGGTATCCAATATTCCTTCTCAGCCATCTAGCACACTATCCCCTCTCTCACAATGACCAAGGATGGGAAAGAAACCAAGAAGCAACAGAGTGATCTCCCTCAGCGTTTCCTTCAGCAATCTGCATCTTGAGACTAATAAGAATCTAAAGAACTCCTCATGGACTTTTCCACTCAGATTCAGTCTATTTGTCTCTGAACTGATACATACCCTTCAACAATGACAATAAGTTAACGGTGACATTTATGTCACTTAAAGGTGAGTTATGTGGAAAAAAACCCCTACTTTGTTTTACATCAACTGTCAAATTTCACTGTATACCTGCCAACATGGTTGAAAACATAACTGCTTGCTATTCAGTTCGTACACTTATTTCAAAATGATAAGTAGTAAATATGATTTCAGAAATATATTCTGAATTACTTTAAGCAACACTTCTAATTCCCACAGTCAGTGTAGCTTGAGAAAAGTCAACACTATCAGAGTCTAGTTCCTACTCAATGCATAGGTAAGAAAAACAAGAATTTCATACATCTAACAGCCTTCTTTGAAGAAGCCTGTCTGTAAACACTAGTCACTCAACTGTCTTCTAACTTTGCTGACATTGTGAGCACAGGTAATGGAACAAAACCACTCTTCCCTCAATTACTATAATATTACCTGTAATCATGCATTCCCTTTGTCAGTCCTGTGCTGTGTTCATTATGAATTGAAGAACAGAACGTAGATTCATCTAGACCTCTAAAGGAAAAAGTCAGTAAGTTATTTAAGAAACTTTGTATTTAAGTATTCAGTAACACAAAAGAGCTAGGTCTTTGTTATACTGTATTATAAAAGAACAAAGTCTACAGATTAATGTCTGTCTAGCTATTTTTGTCACAGCTGCAGATACCAGAGATGTTAAAAGAAGTCCTCTTGTTGACATGTCTTACTCCATAGGACAGTCATATCTACTTCAACCAAAATTAAGGTACACTTAAAACTGAAGTAAAAGACTAGCTTAACTAGTATTCAAAGGCCTCTAAAAAGAAAAAGTAAGCACGTTTTTTAAAACATTATATGAAATCAATATGGATTAGTATTTCTTCAGATTATCTTTTGTCTCTAGTAATGGAAGCATTTTAGAAGCTACTGAATCGATTTTACTGAAGCTATTTTGCAGCATTTCGCTATCAAAATTTTATCCATGACTAGGTAAAGTACAGCCTACATTAAGTATTTCCTTATCATTCATCTTCACAGGACTTTTCTACATGCTGTGAAAGCATATGCTATAATTTAGAAGATCTACAGATAGCAGGCACACCTGAAACATCATTATGTTTACTGCTGTGGGATCATTTCAACTACTAAACTCAGTAAATGAGATATATCATGCACAATATCCAGGCATTTTCTAGCAGACATACTTTGAATGCACCAGGCATACTTTGAATGCACCAGAAAATATCATTACCTTCCAAAAGGCTTTCACAGTTGCCATTACAAAACTAGCACTATTCAACACAATTCTTATTAATATTGGATATCTATTAAGTTATCTACTGAAAAGGATTCAGAGTTGTCCCAGCTAAGAAAAAACCTCTTTATTGTGCATATACAGTAACAATTATTTCCATTCTCTAGAACACAGGGAAAATTTTAAACATCGTCACTATTGCAAAGGTCAGGACCACGTGTCTGCCAACTTTTTGTAAAAGAACAGAAGGTGAAAATGTTAATGTGTTCACCTGGCCATAGGCCTACGAGGTTTCCCTAAAATTTTTCAAGTTCAAGGATTTCAAAATTACAATTTTTAGATTAATAAAAATATAATTCTCTGAATAACTGTGCCTTTCTCCCCATTCTATCCCAAATGATTCAATTTTTCTTTTCCTGAACAAAAAGGAACATAACAGTGTGTTTAAGAAGGGTCCTAAAACTAAGTATGGTATGCAACTATGAATACCTATCTGTGTAATGTCCATGCAAAGACAAAGCTTCTAGCAGGATATCATTTGCTTTTTACAGTACTGTTACAGTACTGAATTCCCAGGCCATTTAAAAAAAAAAAAAAAAATCCCTGCGTGCACACAGTTTATTACATAAAGCACTCATCAACTCCAAGATTCCGTTGACACCAGCTAAAACAAAACAGACATACAAGGTCAAAGTTGCATCCTATTTGGCTATGTGACCAAGTCTGATTTAGTTTAAGAACAATTACACTTGCATTTCCTGTGTTTGAAACTGTAATCTTAATATTACATTATTATAAAAAGAACAATGGTACAAAAGCAAGCTCTCGTAAGTGAATTAGTTGCCCAAGAAATCTTAATTTGCCTCCCTTCTGTACTGTGCTAAGTCTTTAATTATGTGACCAAACTGTTCTGTCTCTGGATACTTGCACAATTAACTGCATAGAGTGAATCTATCTTCACGATGCATTACTGCACTTAGATCACAACTACAACTATTATGTTGCTTGCCTTATGGACTTTAAGGCCCTCATCTCATATACCCTCTATTTACAAGCATTAGCTTGATTCTCTGCCATGTTATGAGCTAATACCAATTCCTGGGTTGTACATAAACTCAAGAGGAGATTAAGAAAATGAAGGACAAGTTTTTAAGACTTCTTTCCAGAATATTATCATTCATAAATTCAGCTATTATTTCACAGGTGATATCTAGTACTTCACTACATGATCATACCTACTTCACTTTGAAGTTACAGCAAACTCTCATTCTTATTTGACCTTGTGCAAAAGTGACTGAGTACTCTGCCTGTATTGGGCATGTCTCGGATCCAGCTGTTTCTCCTCTTCATCATCCAATTGCTAAATAATAGTGTCCAGCTCAGCTACAGTACCTGACTAAACAAGTGGTCAGGCTCAGTTGTCGTTAATACATCAAACAAATGAAAGTTTGGCATATCAGCAAGAATGTGATTGAATAAATGCTCACATAACTTCACAGGCATATTTGAGATTTTTCCAGGGCTTATAAATTGGCTGAGTTATCACAAGAACATCAAAAGGCACAGTCAAACAGCCAACAAAAGCCAAGTTTCAAGTCACTGCTTTAATGCTAAGGAATATTTTTTTTCTTAACATGTGGAGTCGTATGATTTTTTCCCATATCTGTTCTTAGAGTAAAAGTATAGTTTTTCAGGTTTTTTTAATCTCATCTGTGGGAAATATTCCCTTTGAACAGTTTAAATTAGCAACACTATATGCACGAAAACAAGACCCTGTAATGCAAAATGACAAGCATCACTACCTGAACCACTAATTCTTGAGAGGCTTAACATAAAAAATGCATACAAAGCTTTTAATTATTTACACATGAACAGAGACATTTCCACCCTCTCAGAGGAGTGGCTCAGTTTTGTAACTGCTTGTATATCACTTTAAATTGTTGCCATTGCTGATAACTTTCCATACTATTTGCACACACTTTTTTCAAAAAAGTAAGAAACATTTGCAGACTATGTTTCTTATTACAGAAATTTTGGCTGTTTTATTTTCCTTCAGTCACCGGCCATTAATTTTTCTATGTGTAGTGCTTGGACTTTTCCACATGATAGTTCGATGCAGTGAACATTGATTTAAGTTAAAAAGAGGTTATATTTCTGATCTGAACTTCTTATTTTAACAAGCAATTTTCAAAAACAGAGAAGCCTGTTTTCATTTAACTTGATAAGGCCTATAAGAAGGCCTTATCAGTAGCACCAGAAAAAAGAACTTTCTTCTTTAACCATCATGCGACAGTGCTGCTGGATAAAAGAAAATACAGTGCATCAAATTTAGTGAGCACGGCTAATACTGCCCACTGAAAGACATTTTCTTATCAATGAAAGACTTGGTTTTGTTACTGAAGAGTAACAAAAGAAGGATCAAATTCAGCTCAACTGGACTAAAATGTGGCAGCAGACCTACACAAAGGTGAGCAACAAGGACACTCCTTTTGGGTCTAGTTCAGCAGCAACACAAAACATGTAATTTATTCCATCAGAAATAAATTTTTTAAGAGTTTATAGAAGGAGAACTACTGTCTATAAACAGGTGCTCTAATTCTCAAATGACACTTCAAGAACAGGCAAAAATCCTGCAGAGGCATGCAGCCTGTCACTCTATACGAATCATGCTTGATAAAGGTAGATTAAACAAATACCTTCCTTCCAAAGGGGCACCAAGTTAAAATCTCCCTGCTCTCACTATGGTTTAAACAAAGACTCAATGAGCTAAAACAGCTGGTCAGAATATGATACTGATTTTCACCACATTCTTAGGCATGCTATTGTACTTTTTTTAAAATGAATTTTGAAGCACGACACAAAAGAAAAAAGTATTCTTACCGTACAACATCAAAATTTTGAACTGAATCATTCCAGAAATACTTCACACTGTGGTGTGTGAAATAACGAATCTATAATGGTAACAGACATAGATATTATATTAGCACCACTTAAAACCTCTTCCGACTTTATCCTGGAGTGACGGAAAGTGAATTTAGAAACACTCCATTGAAAAATGAAGTTTTCTTTCAAAATAATCTTTCTAGAATTCCATAATTTCCAGTTACAGGTTATTGAGGAAAAGATTTGTGCTCCACCCCAAGAACAAGTGAGCCTTTTAGTCAAAAGTAGCAGCTTATGTGTACTGTATTGTGGCATGTTTATTCTAGATACTACTTGAGATACTTTGAAAATTAGCAGCTGTAGTATTGCAGGTTTACTTACCGGCAAATATTTTTTCAAATCATTTTTATTCTCTTCTGCAGCAGATTCACAGAAATGAACAGCATGGCCATTTGAAACCTTGTGTACAATAGGGTTAGGATTCTGTAAAGGATTGGCTCCCAAAGAAGGCATAATGCGAACCTTTGCACAAAACCATATCTTGAATTCATCCTTAAAAAGAGGGGAAAAAAATTATTTGATTGAAACGTTATTGAAACAGCATCGTACAACAATAGCTGTAGCAAAACTTGTCAACAACAGATGACAGATTAGTAGAGCCCATACACATAACTACAGAAGATATTCCCAAGTTAGTATCAGCTACCTTAAGAATACATTTTCTTTCCACAATTCTGAAAACATATTTTGTAAGGAATTTTATTTTTAAAGCAATGAGTCTTGATACTTGAATTTTTACATCTTCAGCCCTTCATAATTTATTATAGTTGTCCCACAGTAGGAGGAACTATGGGATTCCTATGCATTCAGCTGCACTACCCTGCAACGCCAAATAAATGAGTACTTAACACAAGATCATAACCAGGGACTGTGCACAGTAACTATGGAGGAAGAAAGCCACTTTAAATCAAACCACACCTGGGTCCACAGTTACACCTTAATTCAACAAATGTGTCTTTCCTGAATGAGGGAGGGAAAACCTGAAAACCATGTTATCAGCTTATACCAACACAGTATCTGTTCTGTGAGTTTTGATGACAACAGCATTTGTGTATTTAATTCTTAAAATCCAAAAGCTAAAACTTTCTTTCTGCTATGCCCTCTGCAAACAGCTGTCAGTCTTCCCATAGGAGCAGGAAAGCTACGTACAGTACCAAGGAGCACAGTTCTGCAGTGCTGTAAAACAAAATCACATCTACATTGAAGGCAAGGATTTGTGTATCTTAACAAGCAGCAAAGGGATGTGAAACTACTGCAAACTGGAAGCAGCACATCCTCTCATAGACTTACAGTTGTTCTCAGCAGAACCACTTCACAGTCTCTAAGTGTAGTCCTTTTGCATGTTGCTTTCACACGCCACTGAGGCATCCAGTAGAGGAGGAGGAGAAGAAAGCCACCAGAACAGATCACTCCTACAGTAACTAGCACCAACTTCCAACGACACAGATCATAACCACAGATCTCCTGCATGGAAACAGAAACAAATAACAAAGAGTGACCCTCTTTAATTGCTCTGACTTGGGAAGCCACCATTAATTTTTCATAAAGCATGGTATTTAAAGCGAATCAAATTTCAAAGCCATTTTCTCCTTTTTCTTTTCTGGGGGAAGGAAAGATTAAAAACTTAATACATTATGGGGAGGCAACAAAGAGGAGGACTGTTGTGCTCAGTCAGAAATCTAAACATCAGTAAAAGCCTCAGAAAGGCAGAGCATATGCATTGTTTACAACATTTAATTACAGGACCTGTCTCCTCTCTGCATTGCTCCCTAAGGACTTAGGTTGCAACACAGCCTGTCTTAACTCCCAGTGAACAACCACATTTTCCACCAGGACCATGACCTAGTAACAAGCCAACTAAGCAGTAAAGAACAAAAGCATATTTGATTTTGTCAAATGCTGATTTTATGAAGCATCTGATTAGCCAGCATACATAGTTCTGAATGCTAGCACAGCATTAGTTTTTGTTGCTAGAGGAATTTCATGTTTGGTAAACAAGCATGTAAATATTTATCAAACACTACTGTTTAGTAGAGAAACTGGCTTATTTTGCCTGTCATTTTAACAAGAAATGCTACTAAGGGATTATTAGAAACTGCAAGCCGCACTGTCAAAGGTTCTGTAACTTGCACCAGCTGGAAAAATCCTCTTCTCCCATTAAAAAACCCACAAAGTATTAAGTGTGCCTTGGTCAAAGGCAAGTACCAACTTAACCTGATGACAGCTAGGAAAAGAAAATAATTCAGTGACTTACTAGATGCTGTGTTACATTCCTGAGCTTCACATTACATCATTAGATTATATTTCCTGCTGCAAAAGGGCAATGAAATGGCCCATTGAGTCCCACCCACATTGTTCATACTGACACCAACTTTTTGCAAATTTTTTTTGTACTTTTCATTAAACACTATTAGAAATTGTTTAAACTCCTTTCCTAAGAAAAGGCTTTTCAACAAGTTTGTTTTGCAGCCTTCTTCAGCTGACAAGAAGAAGAGACAAAACCGTACTCTCACCCCCCAAAACACTGGAGTCAGTATTCACTCCTTTCCAATAAAAACAGGTGGATGAAAGACAGCAGGAGAGTTCAAAGCTTCTTTTGGGGCAAAACAAAATTATTTCTTACAAAAAGCATTTATTTTAGTGATCAGACCATAAGCATTTCAGTTTCATTTTTTATTGTAAGGTGTATTTGCCTACTCTCCATATTAAAGCTGGTCTAGTGAAGAGCAGCTTTTCCTAGCTGCACACACAAAGAAGTAACAAGGACATCAATTCACAGGAATCTACCATTTTTTAAAGCAAAAATCGCTATATGTCCCAGATATTTTCTGCTGTCTCTAGAATGGGCTAGAAATTTAAAGACCAGCTGCCACTGCTTTCCTGTCCAAGCTAACTGCTGTATCTTCCAGGACAATAATAAGAGATATCATTGCTCTAGTAGGAAGCAAAGTTTGTGTACTACCAAATACCCACAAAACTGTTTGACATGTTTTAGGGAGTTGATCTTATTTGCATAAATATGAATATGCAAGAGTATGCAGAGGACAGTCTGATTATGAAGCGCTAATCTGTTTTAAATGACAAGAAAAAAGCTCTAAGATTTGGAGAAAAGAAAGAAAAACCAAAAACTTTGCTGCCATTTTCCTTTAAAAAGCAAAAAGCTGTTTAAGTACCAAAATCTTATATCTGTTGGACTACTGACCTCAAGGTACCCAACCCAGAACTTTTGCAAAGGTTTTCAACAAAAACATTCCTCATACCAATACTAGATTTCTGGTATTTGATAGATTTTTGGTATTAACCAAAAGAATATTATCAAGGGTAACCTTATAAAATCGCTAAATTCATTTAAACTGAGACAGTCCACTTCCTAGTGTGCTATGCCCCATTTAGAAAGAAAACCATAAAGTTTCTTTCACTGTATAAAAATAGACAAACAGAATTAATTACCATCTCCTCCTCCTCTGCTTTATTGACAAATTTCTTTTCTTCTTTCTCCATGTTTAGTACGATATGGAACTTCTCAACTTGAGATATGGAAGACCTTTAACAACAAAAATTAAAGATTGAAGCAACATTACTGATTTTATACCTAACTACCAGGTTGTTTTGAGTTATTTTCTGTAAGTGCATACACATAAAACACACTGACAACATAATATTGATCTTAAATTTGCACTGATACTAGTGTCCAGTAGTAATGACCCATGGAGGTCTACTAAAGCTTTAATATTGAACACTGGATGATTATAAGTGAAATATTGCAAAAACAACAGGCTCTGAAGGAGGGAAAGGAGCTTGTACTTGTACCAATTTAACTTCATACAATTAATTCTACATGCAGCAAACAGGTTTTGGTACATTTACATTCTACAAACTTCACAATGGAAACTAGTTAAAATTGAAAAAAAAAAAAGCTTAAAATTAGGTCAAGATTACACATTTCTAACATTCTATACTGTAATAACTCCAATCAGATGTTTTCAGAAGCTGGGCTATCCTCCTCAAGGAAAGACACTGTACCCCTGAGATGTGCATTTCTCATCTGAAGAAAAAAAAAGTATGTGCTAAAAATGTTTAGTCCCCAGTTTAATATTTCTAAAATCAAAATATGCTTAATGGTGGTCTTTCCAATTCTTTTACCATTCAGTCTTTATCAATTGGTTCATTTCTTACTGTAAATCTCATAGTTGCAAATCTTGAAGGGTCCTTTGAGTACAGATTATGATCACAAGTTTCATGAATAGGGCAAGGCATGAAAAAAACATGAAGTTGACTAAGAGATGAACATATTGCACACAGATCACTATTCCAATAGAGAAGAACTACAAACAAAAGGCTACAACATACTACAAGGTTCATCAGAAGCTTCAACATCACAAGAAGAAAATTAAAGATACCAAGCCAAAAAGCTAAATTTTTGAAATTAAAATTGTATCTAGCCTTCATTTGGGCACCACTGTACATGTTAATTGTACACAATTTATAATTAATGTGCCCATATTTGATTTCCACAGGGCTATTTACTATAGTTAAAACGACTGAATAGCCAGTGCTCACTGCCAAGGCATGGATTAACTATCATTCTCTGCACTGACATTGTAAAACCTTTGGTTTTATTTACTGCACATAGTATCTCACTGAGGACAGCACTTACTACCACAGCATATGAGCAGCCCTCAGATATTAAAGACTCACTGTCATAGCACAAGTAGTTATTGTAATTGACATTTTTCAAACAGAAGGCTGTTACAAAAAAAAAAAAATCAAGGTGAAAGCCATCCACTTAACTTCAGCTAAGCTGTCCATTGAAGACTAGGATGCCACTATTCAAAATACTTAGTACTAGGTAGCATTATGATAAAAGCACAACCATTACCAACTCTTTTGCTGTCATTAACTCCCAACACTTTCACAAATCAGATCACCAAACTTCAAGTCAGATCCTCTCCAAGCCAGCCCCTGGATCCATGCACTTGCATTCAGCAGCAATGCCAGCTTGCCAACTTCTAAAGGTCCTTCCTCCCAACTCCTGCAGTTTATCAACATCATCACATCCTCACGTGTTCTCTGCAAGCTACCACCTCCTTTCCAGTTAAGCCAACAAATGAAGCAGGAACCCAACAGAGAAGGTTTCCGTTGCTGCCCAAATCTGGATCTCCTCAGACATCTACCCTCACTGCTGAATAAGGTCCTTCCTAGTGGAAAAAACACTCACTCGAAGCAAAAAACTGTATCACAACACAGGCCTCAGTCACAGGTGAAAAACAACTTGGCACTTCATAAACTGAGTGCCTGATACAGCTTGTATTTGTTCTGCATGGAAGGAAGCGAATTTGATAACAACTGTCATCTTTGATAGAAATACCAGCTCACATGCTCCTTGCTTTAAGCTGAAAATTTTCTATTACTATCCAGTGCTGAACTATGAATACCTTTCTTACTGCAGATTAGTCTGGAAATTAAGCCAAATTATGTGCACTACTGATACTTCCTTATCTGTTACATAAGTCATGCAAGTTCTAAACAACATTTTTGTTTAAATTGCCACTTTTCTTCACTAAACAGCTTTTTATCCTTGGAAAGATATATATATATATAGATATAGATATATAGATATAGATATATATAAATTAAACCAGTTAAAATCTGTCCTAAACCTACAGAGGATTGCTGAGCAAGCTCCTGAGAACAATCTCTGAATTAATAACATTAAACAACTTCACGTACAGTATACAATCACATTTTCAGTCAAGAAGCCATGCAGACAGAAAAAGTTTTGTGTATTTACAGAATTATACTTCTAATATAGTTCACAGCTCCATGAGAGAATTATTAGATTTATCATACTTGAACTAGCCTGTTCTTAAACAAGCATGCATTTCCCCACTATAGTGTACCGCAACATCAAAAACAGCGCCTGCAGGCAAAACTCCAATCTTGATGAACATATCTAGCAACAACTGTACTTGATACAGGAAAGCACCAGGCAGCAAAATAAATACAAACAGCCTCAAGATCAATCAATCTCAACTGAGATTTCCATATGGCCAACACGTCAGAACAGGCACCTTATGGGACACTGCGGCAGCATGAGAGAGAAATGCAATTGCTCTAATTTAGGGCTGTTCCACAGCTAGTAAAGAGTGTTGAGCCGTTGGTCTGAAGAAGCATTAAGGGAAATCTCAGCACTGAGAGCACCAGCAATAATTCCTGTGATTCACTGAGTTCTTTGAACAGCTGGGTAGAGTCACACAGGGAATACACAAGGAGCATTAGGAGGTTATTTTTAACTCACATCATTATCTCCATCTGCATTATTTTATACAGACTCATTCACTGAGCAACATTCAGCTAGCACATACATTCTCAATATTTTACATACTGCCTGTAATTTTCCATGCTAAACTCAAACTCAAATCTCTAAAATAAGAGAACATCAGAGATTCTTTCCTTTTTTGATGGGTCACGATAATCATTACTATTCAGCAACGAACAGCACTTGTTCTCCAATCTTACCCCTTTTGGCACATTATCAGCCCAAGCTCATCATCAAGAGCTCAGACACATAACTGCTTTGGGTTTGTTTCTTACTGCCCTGCTGAAAGTTGGGGTTGAACACCACCACCATGGATGGGTTCCACAGGGCTGCCCTCTCTGGAGGTGACTTCAGGTAGCTTGCTTCAGACTGAGTAAAGTAGTAGCATCTCACCAATTCAGGGAGACTTTATCAATCAGCATTTGATCTTTACTTCTTTCTATAATATGGCAGAAAATTAGAAATATTTCAATACTTGAAAATTTAACTCAGTATTTAAATATAAGCCTTGGACTTTTCAGACTAAAAGGGAGTATGACATTTTACTAGTATTCCAATTGAAGTGAGGTTGAAATCCACGCAAAAGAAACAACAAACTCAGGAATATACAAATACAAAATGCCTCCGATGCAAGGGATGCCACTCAGTCTCTCTGTCACAAGTTCCCTGAAGTGAATAGCTAGAGAAGTCCTTTTCCCCTTTAACAAACTGAAAATAGCAACCAAAAAGCACTATTTATTCCTTTTGAAAAAGGGGGACAAAACCAATAGAAATGGTCAAAGTTACTGTCGCTCCACTGACATAATTTTTACACATTGAGCTACTGTATAGCTAAGCACAGAGCCAGAAAACTAGGAAATATCAAAAAGGTCTGTAAAAGAAATGCTGTTTGCCACTGAGACTAAGAGGATGAAACGATTTGCAACATTTTAGAACATAGGTATAAATTTAACAAATGGTGATCGGCTGAGCAGTGTCCAAACTGACTACTTCTAAGAGATACATTTGAATCAGAAGCTTAAACAGTAAATCTGCAACTCTGTAAAAAAAAAGTTTCAAAATTAAACTGCATTTGCTATTTCCCTCTGTCCTGAAGAGTATGTAGCTATGAGTAGGACAGCACCTGCAGTTTCAGATTTAAGTATTATTTTGGAGCTAAAGTAGATCACAAATTGGATCACTGAAGAAATGACAGCAGTGTACAGACCTTAAAACTACATGCATTCCCTGCAGTGAAGTTGCACTTTTTCTGAATTACTAAGCCAGTATCTTTTTGTTGATCTATCCTGATTGTTTAATCAGGATATCAAGCAGTTCTGCCAGAATACTTATAGGCAACACACATTAGTGTAGCAATAGTATAAAAAGTGCACATGAACTCATGGCATATTTATTAAGGAAAATGTTGTTAAAGAAAAAACTACAGTAAATCTCAATCAGTATGCCTGAAGAGTTCTGCAAGCCACACTTCTGAAGGACTACCAGCTTAGCTGAAGTCAGTTTTCTAATAGTTGACATAATTAACAAACTAGTTCAGTGCAAATTTTACCCTTCGAGTTTGATTTGAGGTGTGGAAATCAGAGATCTTCCCTCTGTTCTCAACATTTGTCCCGAATTCATAAACCTTAAAAACTAATTCTGCTTTTGTTGCCATCAGTTTATTCTTCCAGTTTTCCAGTTTAACTGGAAAGTTTTATAATTTCAAAAGAAAAATTCCAAGATCTGGAAAGACTAATTACAAAAGAAGAAAGTTTTGAAATTTCCTGCAGTCACTGGGTAACTTAAATACCAAGTTTCTCAGATGACAATATAATTTTGAAAGCTCAAGTCTTTACTTGTAAGTAAATCCATGTAAGGATATGCATTAAAAAAATTATCAAGTTCTTACATATACTTATGCCCTGTCATTATTCATCCGCTTAAAATATGCAAGTAAATAAGCTTACAAACTTTTATCTTAAACATTCCTTATTTTATTCTTTTCAGATATTTGTAAAAATCCTGAGATAACTAAAATAGTTTCTCTTACCAACAAGCAGTCCAGCAGCTGTCCTCTGCACTTGCTTTTGTTATCATGAGTTAGTGAGGCAGTTCTTAATAACTGAGACCCTATCTACAAGGGAAGTCCTGACAAATGAACTATTTTGTCTAAAATCTAAAAAAAGTCTCCAAGGGCTTTTCAAACTGTTATCAAAAGATTAACATATCAAAGAAAATTTGGCACT